GAACCATTTCATGACAAAGCACTGAACAAAGAAGTGTTGCCATATCAACCGCTGAGACTGAATATGTCAGTCTATCAGAAGCTTCTAAAGAAGCTGTCTTTTTAAAGAGTTTCCTAGAGGAACTCTTGGGTAAGGAAGAGCCACTCTTAACAATCCACTCAGATAGTCAATCTGATATAGCGATAGCAAATAATCCAGTACACCATTATCAAAACAAACATGTGGATGTACCTTATCACTTTGTGCGAGAGACTCTAGAGAATGGAGTAATAGATTTGAAATATTTGGAGACAAAGTTAATGGTTGCTGATTATGACAAAGGCAGTGCATAGAGGCAAGCATGAATTCTGTCGTAGTGAGATGGGTGTTGTGGATTAGTTTGTGCGTGAGAGGATTATGCTACTGAGAAAAAGTCTGAAGGCAACGATTGAGGAAGAGTGTTAGAACGAGGTTTGCAATCGATGTCTAGACTGGCTGGTATGGCAGATGAAGTATGTTTGAATATTTGAAAAGAGAGTGTGTTCTGTCATCTGTCTGTCGTCGTACTGATGTATCCGTATAACTTATCTGTATTACTGTATATTGTATTAAATGTGTTTTTATATTATTTTATCTTGATTAGAAGTATATTTATCTTATTCTACGTTGTTTACTTGAACACCACTATAGTTACTCTGTTAAAGTGAGAAGTTTAAAGGTAACTTCCCTCACACGCTCCGTGAAGCCTGTGAAGACACCAGGAGGAGTCTTCTGCGCTTCTGGGAGGAGCTTGGCTGGCTACTTTAGTTGTCTCGGCTCTACATGCTCTACAGCCCAAATAAGTGGTTAATTATCGAAAATAGAGTCCACATTACATTATATTACAACACCTTACTCGTATTCTATCTCCAGTAGAATATTTTCAATTTTATTAAGAATACACTATAACGACATCCGAAAAAACATACTATTTATAATCTGTCACTTGTAACATAGACTAAGTATGTATTAGTTTATGGTAGATTGTATTTTTAAAAATCTCTCTGGTTCCTGCTTTGTAACATGGTCAGCGGAATAAAGCTTGCTCTGCGTAATTTCGAGTTTAACATAAAATAACTGCTAAAACGTTCAGGTTTTGGACCCAGAAGCCCGCTGACATAAAAACAAGATTCGGAAAAAGGTAATACTTTCCATAAAAACAGTAAAGAAAACACGTCTTCGTCTAGACCGCATGGTTGTTTGTAAAATGGCGGAAAACACTGATATCTCAAATATTAATGTATTAAGAGATGTAACCTTGATCCAATTATGGAAATTTCAAACAAAAATACTGTTCAACCGTCAAGGAGTGCAACCATTATAAAAAGAAGGAGGCGTTAGCCAAACACATCATAGTTTCCACTATCGATCAAAAATATGTTCCACGGTTGTTCGATTGCAGCAGTGCATTTGAAATGTGATATGCAAAATGTTTGAAAGAAAAGAAGAAAGTCAAAAGATGTCGTTACTTCAAGAGCTTTATACGTTTAAATTTAATAGTGATGCAGGCATGGTTGAAAATGTTTCAAAATAGAAAACTTGGTTCAGAGATTAAAACATATGATGATTCAATTGAATGGTGCCATGGTTGAATCAAAAATATTGTCATCGTTGGGTGATGGCTACGGAAACTTTATCACAGCTTGGGAATCAACTTCGAAAGAAGAACGTACTTTGCGGAACCTTAAGACAATGCTAATTAAGGAAGAGGAACGTCAGAAAGAGGATGCAATATCATAGCATTGAAGGTACAAACAGCACAACATAATATACAGAAGACCAGGCAGTACAATTCAATTTGTCATAGCTGTGGGGTACACAATTAAAAGATCTTCGATTTTCAAAATATGTGGACTGTATTTCAATTTGTTTCTTATTCTATGGGTCGGCCGGCCGGAGTGGGGTTTTCTTGGTCGTTGCGCCGGCGGTGGTTCTTCGTCGGTGGCGTATGCGTAAGAGAGCGCGATCGAGAACCAACCCGCCTTTTACGGGCGCCCGAGCGCGTCCTTCCCCACCCCCGCCGAGCTGTGCGCGTCGGCCGTCCCACCCTCCCGACAATTCCTGCACATGTCGGTGACCGACGGGCCGGAACAGCGAATACGCACACATTTAAAATTAAATACAATAGTAACAATACAAAAAACTACAAAAAAAAAACCACGTGCGACTAAATGCCACATGTTCAGGCTACACTAAAGCTGTGATCCCTAAGAATTTACACAATGGGCGGACATAGAATTCACAGTATCTATGCCGCTACAAAGGGTATATGGTACAAACAATAGTCTAACCTAAACAATAGTCAAACACTGGAAAAATACAAATTTATATACAAATTTATTTACATATTTTCGATGCCGACTCGTGGTCCGCAACAGCCTCCCCCCGGCGCAGATCTTCGCAGCCCTTATCCCTAGGGAGGACCACCAGCCTTCGGGTCGGCCTTCGAAAAATTCCCTCGCGTCCGTCCGTCCGTCCGCGTTCACCGCAACGCCACTTGACCCATTTCCCCGCTTCGGCGGGGCGATCAGCCCAGCTTCCATGCCCGTCGCCTGCATTCGTCTGCGAGCAGCAGCACCTGTGCCGGGGTCCTCCTCATCGGTCATATGAGGAGAACCGCGTTCTGTCCATTACGGGCTTTGCCTTCGCCCGGGCACGGGCTACCGTCTCTGCAGGGACGGGCTTGTTTTCCTTGGGTCGTTCTTTCTCTGGAGCGTACACAAGCGCCGGCCCGACGGATCTGTCGGCGGTGGTCCGTATTGTATATCTCGCGCGGGTCGCGTCGTTAGTTACGTCGTGGGCGGTCGGTACCCAGCGCCACTGTGTTGGTTCTGTATGTTCGGCGCTTTCTGCCATCCGGCGGGCCGCGTGTGGATTGTATCGAAGTCCAATGTAGCGTCTTCTTCGAGACCGTCCATAGGAAGACTTCGGCCGCGCGACGACGTCCTTTCAGTACGTCAGCGGCCAGTCGGGGTCCTACCAGGCTCGCTTGAAGCTCCATCCGGGGTGTACTCTGCGCTTTCATGGGCGCTACCCTCGCTTTGGCTGCTACTAGGACGACGTCAACGCTACGATCCTCGCGTTCCGTCCTCCAATACGCGGCTGTGGCATATGCCTGTTCGCTTGCGTCCGTGAATACGTGCAGTTGCGACCCTTGGCTGTCGTTCGTGCCATACCATCGCGGCAATCTTAGTTCCTCTATATACGGTCGTCTCTCCATTCCTGGAACATCCGCGCTTCCTCGGCGGGCAGAGAGTCATACCATTCGACCTTCTGCACCCACAGCGCCTGCAAGATGATTTTTGCCGTGATGGTGTAAGGGCTCAGCAGCCCGAGCGGGTCGAACAATGACATCACCGCTCCTAAGGCTTCCCTTTTCGTCGGTATCCGCGTGCCCTGCTTCACTTCTCGTGGGACGCGTGGCATGCCGGTGTTGAACGCCAGCTGGTCTTCGGCTGACATCCACAATAATCCCAATGTCTTTCCGTATGGATGTGCGTTGGCTCCCAGTTCCTTCGGCGTCCTCGCTCGCTGGTTCTCACTCACATTCTCTAGCAGGCTCGGTCGGTTTGTATTCCAACCCGCCAGCGTGAATCCTATCCCGCCATGAACCTCTACTACCTCTCGTATGGCGCGGGCTGCTTCCTCTTCGGAGTCAAAGCTATCGACCCAGTCGTCCATGTAGTGGTTCCTTGTTATGGCGGTGTACGCTGACGGGTGCGACTCTCGGTGCGCTGCCGCGTTCCTGTCGCGAACGCTGTGTGCGATGAACGGTGAGCTCCTCGCCCCGAAAATCATTGAGGTCATTACGTATTTCTGCGGCGGGTTAATCCTGTCATCTCCTCGCCACAGAAACTGTTGTGCTGCTCTATCTTCTTCCCGTATCTTAATCTGCAGGAACATCTCTCGTATGTCTGCCGTGATAGCTACGGGCTTCTCGCGGAAACGGTATAACACACCGTTAAGCGACCGTAGCATATCTGGCCCATCCAGCAGTACGTCGTTCAAGCACATTCCCTTCGAACGGGCCGCGGCGTCGAATACGAGTCGCAGCTTTCCGGGTTTATTCGGATTCGTCACTCCGAAATGGGGAAGGTACCACGCGCGGTCGTTGTTGAACCGGTCGTCGGTTACTTTCTCGGCGTAACCCTTGTCCAACAACTTGTTTATCTCCGCGGTATACGCCAGCCGGAATTCCGTAGAGCGATCCATCCGCCGCTCTATTCCCCTCAGTCGGCTCGCTGCCATGTCGTATGGGAGGTAGAACGACGTTATCTCTCTCCCACGGCAATCCTACGACGTATCGCCCATCCACTCTCGTCGCTGTGCGGTTGAATGTGGCGATTCCTTAGCGATGGGTAATCTCTTCGACGATATACCCAACGCGTCGATGTCGTAATGCGCTTTTATTATGCCCTCTATATGCCGCATGTCTGGCTCGGCGTTGCGCTGTGTCAACCGCACGTGGAGGACATGTTCCTCGTCTTCCACGACACTTCTGGGTACCGTTCCGTGGATGACCCATCCCAGTCGTGTCAGCGACGCTGCGGGTTGATTGTGCCTTCCTGTGAGCAGCTTCCGCGTAACAATCAGATGCCAGTTGTCTGACCCGATCAAGACCTTGGGTCTGGCATCTTCGTAGCACACTTGCTCGCAAGTGAGTTGTCGCAGGTGTCCGTACGCGAGTATTTCCGGGTTCACTCGCTGCGTTCCTAGGGTGAGATCCCGGATCGTACGCGCCCTCACCGAGTGTTCTTCGTCCGTATGGTGTCGCCCTCTGATGATGACATCAGCCACTCGGCTTGAGGCTTCGTGCCAGCTCGAGGCCGCTCCCTGAATTCTCAGAGATCGCGTCGGACCTTCGGCTCCGATCTGTTCTGCGATCTCCGCATCGATGAGTGTAACCGTCGAGCCTTCATCTAGCATCGCGTACGTCTCTACTTCGCGTCCCGTCTTGCCTTTCACGATGATAGAACACACCTTTAACAACACTTGGCTGTTCTCTGGCAAGCGTGCTGCGGCTGTAATCGCGGTGTCCTCTTGCCGCTTCGGCGGTTCTTCTGGGGGTGCAGCAGGGCGTGGTGTGGCTTACGACACTCTCTCACAACACATTTGCGTGCATTACACTTGAACCTTCTGTGCGTGCTGTTCATGCATTGGAAGCACATCTTATTTGTTTTCGCCCACTCCCATCTGTCCGATAACGACATGTCGTTCAGCTTCTTACACTTCGGCGTTACGTGTGCGGCGCCGCAACAGAGACATTCGGTACTCTGTTCGCTCTTTTCTACGGCGGCGTATACGGCCGCGCCACGATCCGTCATCTGTCGCCGAGGTGCCGACATCGTTGCTTTCGGTATGGGTTGCCTAGTGGGTTGCTTTGGGGGCTGCTTCGTGGGTAGCGCGCTCGTTCGTCTCGTTGGTGATGCTATTCGCAGATGTCGGGTCATGAGATCTGCTTCGCTCATTAAAAACTCTGCCATCTTGATGACACAGTGTCCTCCTTGTTTTTTTCAGCGTAGTGACACCAGTGGACCTGTAAGTGAGGGGTCAGCTTCTCTGACACTTCACTCTCAAGCGCGGGATTATGTAGGAATCTCGCCCCCCTGTCGATATCCGCGACGATGGTGGTGATGTTCTGTAGTTTAATGGCGAAGTCAATCACCTCTGTTGTCGATGTTCCTATTACCGGCATCCTTCTCAGATCTTTGAGGGCGCGGTCGATGATGGCCTCTGTCCGGCCGTACCGCTGCTCCAACGTCCTCATGATCTGCGACGGTTCTGTAGCGGATACGAGTAACGCTGCGACTGTCTCTCTCGCTTTTCCACGTAAGCAGGCCCTCAGCCTGGCCAGGTTCTCCGCTGGTGTGATCCTGTACGTCTTTGTAGACTGGTCTACGGCCGCCTTAAACGCTAGCCATTCACTTGCTTCGCCGCTGAAGGTCGGGAGATCTTGGGCTTGCCTCGGCGCTACCCTATCCGCTCGTTCGTCCACAGCTCGTTCAATAGCTTTGGCCAGCCGGGTGAATCCTTCTTGCATCCCGGCTTCAGGAGCGGGGGACCTCCGTCTTTGCTTCGGCGTCCTCGGCGGTGAAGCTTGCCTTTCTGTTGGCTCTTTCTGCGTAGGCGGTGGGGAATTAATTCTCTGCTCCCCCCGTACTTCGGTACGTTGAAACCAATCCGTTATACGTTGCAGGCCGGCACCTTCCTCGGAGCACACGCTATCTCTATCGGTCTCTTCATGTACCGCGGCGACATCGGCTGCCAACTTCTTTCTAATTAAATCAGCCTGTAATTTCGCCATCTGTAGCGCTGCCTCGTACTCCAGCCTCTTTAATTTAGCTATACCGCTAGCGGTAGAGCGGCGCGATCGCTCCGACGCGGCCCGGGCCGGACGTACATCTGTCGTCGGCGGCTGCGACGGTGGCGCCGGTGCGGAGTCCGAGGTAAACGCGGCGCGGGCGGCTTGTGCCTGTGGCGCGCTCGACGGCGCGGCGGACGCGGACATCTGCGTGGTTTCTGCTTTGTCTGTTCATTTTCCCGCGTGGTCTTTTTCTCTGCTCCCGGGGCTTGGCTTCTCGTAGTAGGCAACTTGCAAGCCCCTAACCTACCGGTTCCTACCTACCTAACCGTCCCTAACAATCCCTCAGGATAACACCCGAGGGGATGGACTATGGGGATAGGAGGGTAGGAATTAAGTGGTGCGTATGTACAGACGGGGCGCTCAGACTTTCCGACCCCTTTGGCAGTGCCTACAGTCCGGCCCCCGCTATACGATACACACGTAAATATATGCTATATTTAAAAAGCAACAACCGGCAGTGACACACCACCCACTGCACCGCTCAATGGCGTTAACCCACACTCCGACCGTTTGACACCGTTAGGTGGTAAGAGATGTGAGCCGCGGACACACCGCTTAGACGTTATCTATCCTATATGGCGTAGACGTTATTTAATCCTCGCTCAAAGTTTTCATTACGACGGCAGCCAAATTCGGTAAGCTGCTAGCGTCGCATGATCTTCCTCGGCGAATCGCACCGTTGGGTGATCTTCCGCGGCGATTCGTCGCACCGTTGGGTGATCTTCCACGGCGAACCGTTGGGTGATCTTCCACGGCGATTCGTCGCACCGTTGGGTGATCTTCGGTCTTGATATGCGGCTGCGATGGACCACAAAATTGTGGGGTACACAATTAAAAGATCTTCGATTTTCAAAATATGTGGACTGTATTTCAATTTGTTTCTTATTCTATGGGTCGGCCGGCCGGAGTGGGGTTTTCTTGGTCGTTGCGCCGGCGGTGGTTCTTCGTCGGTGGCGTATGCGTAAGAGAGCGCGATCGAGAACCAACCCGCCTTTTACGGGCGCCCGAGCGCGTCCTTCCCCACCCCCGCCGAGCTGTGCGCGTTGTCCCACCCTCCCGACAATTCCTGCACATGTCGGTGACCGACGGGCCGGAACAGCGAATACGCACACATTTAAAATTAAATACAATAGTAACAATACAAAAAACTACAAAAAAAAAACCACGTGCGACTAAATGCCACATGTTCAGGCTACACTAAAGCTGTGATCCCTAAGAATTTATATATTCACAGTATCTATGCCGCTGATTATGGTACAAACAATAGTCTAACCTAAACAATAGTCAAACACTGGAAAAATACAAATTTATTTACATATTTTCGATGCCGACTCGTGGTCCGCAACAATAGCGGCCACTTTGATCTCAAATATATCTTCGGTTAGGAATTCCAATTTCAAATTTATACAGCTACCTATTTACACATGCATTTATTTTTCGAAAACCGTAATCCATATGCAAAGAAAAAACCAAAAATGCATTAGTCAGTTCACAAAATGAAAAACTTAAAATGTTGCGAAATTTATGAGTACGAGTTCCTGCCGTGGCATCAGTGCTGCAGAAACGGCTTGAATGATTAATAATGTGTATGGCGGTGGTGTAACAAAAGAAAAGTGAGTTTTTGGTCGCAACGTTTTCGTTCTGGAAATTTCGACTGCAAAACAAGCCCCGTGGGCGGCCGGAGTCTAAGGTTGATGATGAAGAATTGAAGGCTATTGTGGAAGCGAATCCATCACAAACTATGTTCGAGTTAGCTGCAGGCTGCGGTGTTAGTAACAAAACTGTTTTAATCCACTTGAAGCAAATTGGGAAGGTGAAAAAGCTTGAAAGGTGGGTCCCTTATGAATTGAGTGGAGCAAATCGACAAACGCGTGTAGACGCACGTTCCCGTACAACGGTATAATAATGAAGGGATATAAAATCGAATCATTATCTGAGATGAAAAGTAGATCTTGTCGGATACGCTCATTGCAATGGCTGAACCATGGCGAACCAGCCAAATCCTGCTCCAAGCGAAAATTGACGCGAAAAAAAGTATCTTCTGAGCGTTTGGTGGACTAGTTCCAGTATTGTTTATTTCAACTTTCTTAAATCTGGCCAGATGATTACGACAGATGTGTATTGTCAGCAATTACTAACCATGATAGAAAAGCTAGCTCTAAACAACCGAGGCCAATCGCCGTAGGCCACTGCTGCTTCAGGACAACGCTAGACCACACACTGCACAACGGACAGTTACCAAATTAAAAGAGCTTCAATTGGAATGTCTAAGACATCCACCGTGCTTTCCGGACCTTGCTCCAATAGATTACTATTTTTTTTCAAAATTTTGATAATTTCTTGCAAGGGAAAAAAATCAAATCCGATGACTCCATCGGAATTGAATTTTTTCCCTTGCGTTTTTGGTCCAAAGCGTATTCAAAGATTTTATTGATTCCCGTTCGATTGGTTTTTTAGTAAAGGGATCAATGAACTACCTCTGAGATGGCAAAAGTACATAAATAGCAATGATACATACTTTGATTAAATAAATATATTATATTTTAAAAATATCTACTCTAGATTACTTCCTTACAAAGCGCCAATTTCAAATATTAGGACCTAATAAATACAATGACGTCAATGAGAAACATTAAGTATTAGTTGTTTTACGAAATACTTTTACTTGAATTGGTTTGCAATATTAAGAACAAAAACATTTTTTGGGATTTGATCGAGTAATATATATAGTACTATATATATTACTCGATCAAATCCCTAAAATATATATAGTTTTCTAACTCCCAGTTTCATTCCTCCACGCCCATCGCCACATAATACCCCGCATGTAGAGGCTACCCCAGTAGTAGTGGTATATAAGAGGCAACCCCAATTCGTCATTACTGGAGTCGTAATCACAGAGTACATCTTTTAGAAACTAGACAAAATTTAAAAGAATGATTGCCAAACTTGAGATTGACAGTTTTTAGAAAAGGTGTCAAACGGGCTGTCAAAAAGGAACCGCCAAATAGCACATTGCATTTAAGAGCACAGAGTAGAGTCATTTAAAACGCATATCGATTTTATAATCGATATATGAAACATATTATTATTATTATATAGTATGCCTTATTTATAATACTAGATGTACCCGCGACTTCGTCCACGTGGAATTTAACTTTATTTTCTAAAATAAAAGTAGTCTAAGTTACTCCTTATTACATCAGCTACCTGTCAAAAAAAGTTCGATCAAAATAGGTCCAGCCATTTCAGAGATTAGCCGGAACAAACAGACAGATAAAAATATTATTTTGGTGTATGTACCGTATTTATATCCGTATTTATATCTCATATAGTAAAAAACGGTTATTTCAATATTACAAACAGTTACTCCAATTTTATTTATATGTAAAATGAAATTTATTTAATATTTGATAAGGTTACAATAATTAAAGTCAGAGTTTATTCTTTTTTAATCAGTTGTTTCTAGGAAAAGGATAGATAGTTGTTGTTAACGTACTGGTCATATAGTTATATAATTTCTATTTGAAATTATAAAATATTTATTTGACTGACAACAACAATAATTATTTGTGTGAAACCTTCAGTTCAATATATTATATAGCAAAAATCGAGTATATTCGATGTATCGTTAAGCAAAGAAAATCATAAGGACAGCATAGATCAGCACAGAGTATGCGCAAATTATCAATTTGTTTACCGATTATTTTTGTTTTATAATTTTCTCCTTAAAAACTATTTTACAGCACCTCAAAATATTAATTATGGATGAAAACATGGATAAAAATTTGAGTACCTTAAAAGAAATGTTATTAGATGAAGAAAGGTTAATTACATATATATCCCTGAGTAAGGAGTTATGTGTGCATGTTAATGATAGCAAATCTTTACTTAGCAAAATAGTGCAACTTGTGCAAAAGAAGCACCCAGACATCAATTTGTGTGTAAATTATATTATATCTGGCATAGCAGATGACAACAAAGCTTTTACAAAAGTATGCTCAGAAGGGGATGTTTCTGATATTATTAAATCGTGTAAATTCCTGTTTTTTCAACATATATACAGTATTTCTAAAGGTCAATCTACTGTCGACAATGTAGCTTACACAGCAATAAATAAAATAGAAGACTTTTCGCTATGTACTGGTTTAATACGGAGCCATGAGTGTACTAAGAGAACGAGTGATGAAATCGGAAACTTGAAATCAAGTAGTCAGGAAAATCCAGCACTTATCCCTAAACCAGCTCTCGTAACAAAGAAAAATAAAGAAACTAAGGAACCAAAAGTTGAACCTGATGAAACCAGTATCAATACACCCAAGAAATATAAATCAGATCCTATAAATCAAAATAATTTGCCAATAAAAGCGGATTCTACAAATAAGAACAAACCTCAGAAAGGAATTGCAGGATTTTTCAATAAATCTAATACAGTTCAACCTAAAAATATAAAAATAGAAAATGACAGTAGGTCTACTAGTACAATTAAAAAAGATGAAGAACCAGTTGTTAATAATGGTATGGATGTGGAAAAGGATGAAATTAAAGGTACAGAAAAAGTAAATAAAGAGAAGAAATCAAATAAAAATCATGTTACAGTGATGAAGAAGAATGCTAAAATTGATAAGAAGCGAAAGAGGTTATTACATGTTTCAGACAGTGAAAGTGAAGATGAGAAAGACAATCCATTTGCTGATGATAGACCTCTCACAAATGGAATAGATGTGGAATCAGAAGATGAAATACCACCCACACCGGCTCTCAATACCATTAAAATTACTTCTGGTATAGTTAATCCCAAAAAAAGGAGAAAGATTGTAGACAAAACCTATACTGATGAAGATGGCTATATTTTAACAAAGAAAGAAGAAATCTATGAAAGCTGTTCTGAAAATGAGGATGTGGATATAAAAGAAAATATACAAAAGGTTAATGAAATTTCATCAAAAAAGAAAGAAAATAATATTCCACTAAATAATAAAATAGATGTTTCACCAAACAAGAATATAGGAGTTAGAAAGAAAAAATCATCACCTCCACAAAAAGGAAAACAACAAACATTAATGAACTTCTTCAAGAAAGTGTAATGTTTTTCATATATGATCATGCTGGTAAAAAAATAACACTAAATTAAGCAGTCTTAAATTCAAAGAAGTATTAAATAAAATTGTTAGTAAGTATATTATATAAGTATATAGTTTGTGTTTTTAACATCTGTAAAAAATTTACAGTCATATTTGGCTGTTTTCTGATAATTTAGTTATGTTATAATTAATGAATAACACACAAACCTTGTAAATTCATTTTTGTTTTCTCATTCTGGATTACTCAATGCTCCATTCATTGAACGATGATAAGCTGGATATGTTATTGATAATAAAATTTTGAATTAATGTATTGTTGTTATTTTTCATTAATTTTTATAATTTAAAATATATACATTACATACATGTATATGTCAGCCACAATATTTTTGCCTTATCGCGAAATTTTACAACAAACTCCCAGAGTCTGTACTCAATTTGCCAGAAAAAAATTCAAATGTGTTATAAAATATTTTCTTTGTAAAAAAGCTTATTATAAAATTGAAGAATTAATAAACGATAATATAATGTTTGTGTAGAAATTATGTAACTTAAAATTCATAGCGCTGACAATGTTATCTGATTGAACAGAGATTAAGTGTGTAGAGGTTTCTATGTTGATTGTCGCATGCCTAATCCTTGTTAATTAAATATAAGTAAATCAATATTTATTTAAAAGAGCGACACACAAGTTTCTTTCTTATTCTTCTTGTGATGAATCTGCATTCCGAATAAGCAGTAGAATAAAAAAACTTGACTATTCAAACATGCTTATATTAAGTTTATTTGAATAAAGATTATATCTATTTCTATTTCTAATGACAATTTGGCATTAATGTGAAAATCAGTAGGTATAAGCCTATTTTAGAATAATAATAGTATTGAATACAAATCATGCTAGCATGAAATATTTTTCAGGCAATAATACCTGGGTGCAATGATCTATAGCATATTCTGGACCAATCATCTGATTAAGTTTTCACTGGTGCCTACTAGCACAAGTGTTATAACCATTGTAACATTAAATCTAATTAGATCAATAGTCAGAAATAATACCTGGCTATGGCAGAGAGTATAGTAGTATAGGTAAGAAAAAACAATTAACTCTTGCTAACTCATAATATTTGAACAGTTTGATAGACATTTTTATTTTTTTGGAACTAAATAATGTCTCGAAACAAATTTAAATATATTCTATGCCCTATAAAACTACATATGTAATAAACAATGGTACGTGCGGCCACTAATTTAAAAATAAAATAAACGAAAGTAGTATACAGTCAACCCTCCTATAACGCGGTACTCTCAGAACGCGGTTTCCATATAACGCGGAGCTAAAATTGCGACAGCCCTCCTATAACGCAGTTCTTACAGCGCGGTCTCCGTTCAACAACGTCCCATCAGTTCTTTCCGTGCACCCAATGAATGGTTTTAACTGGATATGTTTATATCAGCGTGGTTCACGGGTGGGTGGTTCTCCTCATGCGCTATCTTCCACTTCTATTAACTAAATAGTTTCGCATCGACAGCGTGCCATGCGTGTGTATGTCTAACGAAACTGTAACATGAAAGATATATATGTGATCTTTTGACTACATTGTCGCGTGAACTATAGAAAAACTACGTTCTGCTTATGTCTTAGCCGCTTAAAACCAATGTGAAGATAAACCAAGTGAGGAAGACATTTTGCCCATTAAAAGAAGGCGAGTTAGGCGACTCATATCTGACAGTGAGGATGAGTGTTGAAAGATTACATCATTTTACAAAAGTCTTTCTTTTTTTTTTGTTGGAAAACAGTTTTTTAGTTTAGTTTTTGTTTCATTTTTTTCATCATTTCCTTATTTTTATTGAATTGAAGAGTTCATACTCTTCAATTCAATAAAAATAATTTATAATTTATCTTGTCTTTTGTATTTATTGGTCTCCATATAACGCGGTACGAATGATGTGATTTGTACTTATTCTGAGTCTCTTATAGCGCGGTTTCCATACAACGCGGTAGACGGTTTCCATAGAACGCGCTACGAATTAGCCTGGTTTGTATGGTTAAATCCGAGTTTCTTATAGCGCGGTTTCCATACAACGCGGTACGCACTCACCGCGTTATAGGAGGGTTGACTGTAGATAGTTTTAATTTTGATGGTCAGAAAAAAAAAATTAATAAGAACAGTTTTATCAAAATTATCTTTTAGTTCCTATTGCCACCACCCAATCTGGATGAACTTGTACATCTACAAGATATGAGCACTTTGTATTATATGTAGCAGACTGCACATCTTGATTGGAGACTTGTCTGAAATATAAACAATAACATTATAGTGAAACCCTAAGGTACATTTTGTAAAAAGTAGATTGTGAGGGTATCTCAGTATCATCTATTTCAGCAGCTAAGCAGCATGCTTTGTAAAAGAGGCTTAATAAGATTTTACTTACTTATTTTTTATTTGGTTATCCCAAAATACTTTGACAATGCCATCCATTCCTGTGGAACATAGGAGAGAATTTTCCGTTGTCAAGTCATTATGATCTACTAGAATTCTGTTTGTCAGGCTTGCCTTTCCCACTGCGGACCAATCAAGTGCCGTCACTTTGCCATGGTGTCCTCTATGCTCGTGTACACATGTGCATGCAGCTAAATCCCAAACCTTTATTCTTTTATCATCTCCTGTAAAAATTAACACAAATATTTATTTTCATTATCATCAAGTGTAATATTATAAATTAAGGTATAAACTAGGCCATGGTATTTTTAACGATAAACGCCATTGATTGTCCAATATTATCACAATGTAGCTGTAGTCGTGGTCTACAGGTTGGGGTTTTAACAATTCAACTAATGATACCGTCATGAAAGTGGAATGCAGTATTAATTAGAAAGCATCAAGCTATGCAGTATTAAAAAGAATCTTTATTCTAACAAAAATTTCAGTACTATAAAATTTTTAATCTAACACATTAACTGTTATTTTTAACAGAAGAAGAATGAGCAAGAAATTAGACCGTTTGTCTTTTTGTCTAGTTGTTGGTCTTCTTGACTTCATATTGGAATTCACATTTTAATTATTATAAATAGCACATACCAGCACTGGCGAGGTAGTTGCCCGTGGGCGCGAAGGCAAGTGCACGAACTGCAGCGCGGTGACCAACAAGCACCCGCACGAGTCGCGCGTCACACACGCGCCATAGTCGTACACTACGGTCCGCGCCACCACTCGCTATGTAGGCCTCATTTGGATGAAATTTCACGGCCTGTTCACAGAGATATTGTTTTTTGGTGGATGATAATGAAATAGTGAACCTGTCTACGCTAATTTAAGCGCAGGGAGGTAGCGAATTGTTAGTAATGTGGAGTGATGACCCCACTGCACTGACCACACTCAATATTAGAAAAGGCCGCTACATGGTCCCCCTGGACACACTTGTGGGAAATTCCTGGCAAATTGGTCATAATATAATGTGTTAAATTAATTGTCATTCTTTAAGTTTTCACTGGTGTCTACTTGCACAAGTGCTATAACCATTGTAACATTAAAAACATATTTTCTAAATGCGAAGCTGAGTATAACTTTTTTTAATTCAATTATCTGTAGTTTTATAACAATAACTTACAGTTACATCAGACATATGTCCAACAAATACACGTATAGGAAATGTCCTATCAAGTGACCATAACTTTGCTGTCTTATCATGTGATCCGGTAACAACTGAGAGGCCATTTTTTGATACATCCATACACCATATTGGATAATTGTGACCCCTGAGAAAAAAAGTGTAATTAATAACAGAAACATGAAACGTAAATATAATTAAATTACATTTTAAATAATAATGTAGAACTGATAATGAAAATAACCATTGTTCCACTTTAGTATGAACAACAAAAACTAAAAAAGGCATTCCTGTCCATCATAATAAACAGTCCAACCATAAATTATGTGATGCCATTTTCACGATTTTTGATGCCTGTCCTTGTGACATCACTCCTCCCAAGAGTGATGTCACATGTTTTACATTTTACACTGATAAACTAAGTATAAATACGTCATAAAAACAATTTCAATCCTCAATTTAGGCCATTTTTGATCCATTATCAAACAATATCATACTTTGTTGACACTTATCCTTTTCCCCTCAACAACGGACTTATTAATAGGTATACATCTATAAATTGAAACCATACCTATAAATGGAAGCACATGAGTAATCAGTCAACCTCCAAGCTCTCATTGTGTTGTCATGTGAAGCAGAAAGAACTAATTCCTCTTGCCAAAGTATGTTTAAAGCTTGTATTGGGCCTGAGTGGCCTCTTAGGGGCAAACCTGCACCAATTTGTCTGGAATAAAAAATAGTAAGGTTTTAGTATTATGTTATATTAGCTGTGTCCGCGGGTTCACAGGCATTTGTAATCTATCCATCCATACTCACAAACTTTTGGGTTTATAATATTAGTAAGATGACTATAAAATCAGTCAAATAATACAATATTTTATTCAAACTAAACTTACATTTCTAGCTTCAAGCTTCAATATGAAGAAATTAAACTTACAAAGTATTGTCTTCCGGTGACGGTTCTGGAGGCACATAGCATGCTAACTCTATTTCAGAAATATTGCGATTAATTTTCCTTTTAATATTATTTTGACCAAGATCCCACAGTCTAATTTCTGAGTTGTTAAAGCCTCCACATAACATATTGCAATTGGTGTCTGTTTTAGCACATATTAAACTGTAAGGAAAAAGAAAAATTACAAATAATATACCTATATAGAAATAAAAATAAAAAATAGACAAGTTTAAATAATAACATATTATATAATGCTAAATTTAGCAGAGCATATATTATGAATAGGTACTAGACAACTATGTTTATCTAGATATACTTTTTCTTTAAATACAGTAGTCTTAGATATATTGATCAATAATGTTGTAAAACTTACTGAGTATCAGGTGCAGCTATTTTATACAACTTAAGTGGTGCCATAGATTCTCTTACAGATTTGATTGCATCTTGAAGATCTTTTAATTCCTTATCAACATTTGATTGATATTCTGCATGACCATTGCATTTGGAAAATATATCTATAAAAATATATTAGCATAAAGTACAAATTACAATGTTTATTTATAATGTACCAAAATAAGAAATCATTAACATACCACCTAGATCTAGATTTTTTTCTTGTGAATTTAAGCCTGTGACAGTCATCTCCCCATCCAACTGATCATCATCATCCTCCTGAAAAACCATATTGATTATTATGAGCAAAAAATAATAAAGCTTATTTTGGATTTCAAGAGTGGATACTTTTTTTGTATTTGATAAGCCAACAAAGTTACAAGTTACAGCTACTATTATATTTACATAGTATAAAACAAAGTTGTTCTCACTGTCTATTAGATCTTTTAAACTATACAATGGATTTTAATGAAATTTTCATAAATAGATAAGAGTTTTTCAAGAGCAAGGTCTATATGTATATATTACATGTACAGTCCCATGTGAAGCCGGGACTAGAGATATATAAAATAGGAAAGTATGTAAAGAATTGTACAGAGAATTGTTTACATGTAAATTTACACACAATATATTGTTTAGTAAAGTTAAACAAGTAGTAAAGGGTAAACAAACCTTTGAATGTAATCAATGGGTAACCATAATAAAAAGTACAAATACAAGAAAAGTATTATCAAATATGCCACCATAAAATATGAGTTTTGTAAGTTAGATTCTTTTTTGTGCCAACTTAATCTATAAGGACAATCTTACCGAATTCTTTTTATTGCCAGCATTATCCATATCCATGTGAAACCAAGTTTGCAAGACTTGTATCAATAATACATGTCCATGTTTTGCCAGGTAAGCCTTTAATGTATTGAGTGCATCTTGAGACAAACAGATATCATACTTGCATGACCTGAAGAATGTAAAATAATTCTAAATGAGCAACAAAAACTTACAAAATAATAACAATAAAAAGATATCAAGTGTGTTGTCTAAAAGCAATTTTTAAATCTTTCCTACAAATTATGCAATTCTTGATAATTTGATGTGATGATTAAAGATGATTTTTTTTATTTTATATAAGTTATTAAATTTCTGTCTGTGTTGCTAATATTTGTGAAATTATCAATTTTCTAATAAACTATATTTATAAATGTGATAAAACATATGTGTTAAAATACCTACCGAAAAGCAGCTATAGAGGGCCTTGCTTCCAATTCTTGCAGGGTGTATATTGATCCAATATCGTCCAGTATCTGATTCATATAATCTTTCTCCGGTGTTTCATTATCGATTGTTCCATTTTGTAGAGAGTTAAATAATTGTTCCAGACTATTTGGGCGATATAATGCAGATGGCAAATTACCGTCAATTGGCTGATGGTAAGACAAATCTTTTTGTGGAAGTGTAGCAGAGTGTCTTTTAAGAAATACCTGGGCTGCACTGCTATGTCCACCACGAAGCATTTCAAGATACAGATGACAAAGTAGTGGACTTATTAATCCAAGTAACTCATTTCGAACTTTTTCAAGTTTGACACCTTTTATAAAGTTGACTAACCTAAAATTTGGATAAATCTATCTTAGCAGTTCAAAATTCAAGAATCAATCAATGAAGTAATGAAACATTAATTCAACATACTTTGTATACTGTACATCATACTGGCCTGAGTCGTTGTTTATACAAGAGAATAGTATAGAATTGGCGCGACTTGATTCACATTGAACGATTGATGAAACTGCCATTTGCTCGGCACTTTGATTTAAAGAGTTTGTATTATTAAAAACGTCTGCATCCTAAAATTAAATAAATAATATCAAGTCTAAGCGAAGTGGAAAGTAATGTAAATTATTAAATGCATGAAATAAGTAACAGGTTTACTTACTGGATAGTTTCTACGTTCTAAGTAGGAGGTAACAGCTGCTTTGATTGCATCATTTCTACTCTTTTTAATTACAGACATGTATTAATTAATTATTAGCATAAACAGTATCCTTAGTTAGTAAATAAAATAATATTTAGGAAGTACAACAACATCAAAATAATGAAACAATCATATGAGCCACAACATATATACAAATACAATGCATGCTATGCTACTGTCATATAATATATGACATTGACAGCACTCAATTGACATATGCTGCATCGTAGTGATGTAATGTTATAATCGATATTGAAAATTGATTCTTTTTTCGGAACCGTGACTGATACACGTACGAACTTTAGCGGTTTTTGACAGCGCGAACTTGCTTAGCTCGATCATCATTGTCACGCTTGCTCATTCATACTACTATGGGATGTTATCCGCAGTAGAAGCTTTGTGCTAACCAGGTTTTTTTTTTTTAATAATGCTTTATTCATGACCATGGATACAAGTCCTTCAGTCGAATACATTTTTATAATGAATTGAATACAAAACATAAAAAGTAAAACATAAGAAATAAACTATTATATAAGCTTGACAGAAGACAGTACAATTTTAGTAATAATTCATTAATATTAAATTTTTTCCACAGTATGTACAATGTAGTTATATATTGGAATAAAATATGCAAAGTGAGATAGCAAATCTTGAACGCGGCGGGGAATACTTTGTGAGTGTTCCTTTGCGATGTCACTAATGTCACTGACAAGAATCAACCGTTGTATATTGAAAACTGGGCATTCAAATATAATATGGCTTATGTCAGCATTTATCTTGAAACAGTGCTTATTATGTTACCATATAAAAATTTAAGCTAACCGCAGTACCTTACTTTTGCTTTACTCATGCTATCTCGCACTTTTTATGTTTTTCACGGTATCTACCAATTAATTTATTTTTTAATTCTTAGGGCTCATGATTAGCTGGTCTGTCACATGTATTATCCCAGATGAGCTACTAGGTAGATTTCAAACCGGTTGGATCGGTGACGAATTGGCGGTTTTAAATATGTGTATTTCGTCAAATCATTTATTGAATAATTCAATATGTTATATTGATATTTTTTTATAAAACAACCGAATTATGACCCAGACCGTTGTTATTTCGATCCCCATTGAAATGAGATAGGACATGGAACCTTCAAGTTCAAGTGAAAACATTCTGGGTTCCTACTTATGTTCTTCTGTAATAGCTACCATTTAGTTGCATATTGATACTGTTTTTAATCTCTTCAGCATAATTCACAACCTAATGCCAGTCGGTACTACAGAATGAAATAGTACTATTCATAATGGTGTTCAGAATACTAAATTATAATTGTGTAAGTAGGCGGGTGAACTAGGTACATCCAGTACTACGTTTGTTTTATCAACTGAGATAATACACTTATCAATGAGTATTATAATAAGTCCGTTTTATGGTTCAGGATGATAATTTAGAACTTATATAGGTACATTATTAGTACATGCTTGTGATATTACTATAAGTATGTACTGGGTTCGTTCGTCCGGTTAATGCTATCAAATAGAAATTTGGAATAGTTTTATATATCTAACCGGCCAAACTAGGAGGAAATGAGAATTCTGTAAAATAAGATTTAACTAATATTATTCGCAGAGTAGTTATCAACTTAATATAAAAAAAACTTAGTTCGAAACATGTGTTCGAAGAAGGCGAGAATCTATAATGATAACACTTTCTATATGTAATAATAATAATCTCAGGACAATTCACACAGCGCCATCTAGACCCAAGTTATGCTAACTAAAGCTTGTGTTATGGGTACCTACTAGACAACTGATACAAATACATATATATATATATTATACATAGAAAACACCCCGACCGGGGGGAAAGGGGATTGTTAGTAATGTGAACTGATGATCTCATTGCTACAAACAATCCATGGAAACCATCGTGATAAATTCTGGTGAATTTCTCACGAGTACCTGACTTCATGTTCATCTTATCATCTTCCACTGGTGCCCCGCCAGCGTAAACCGTTAGCGCAGGCGGGTGCACCATTCCATTATCAACCGTGAAAAAAGAACACCTGTCATGAGTACAAATGTTTGTGCAGTGCGAGGAATCGAACCCGCGACCATCGGACGTAAAGCGGTGTGCTAGACCGCTAGACCACCGAGGTCGTCAATATGTGTAAATACTATGAGAAAGATACAATGATGTTTCCAATTAGTATAGTTTTTGAGAGTTTACAAAAAATTGTAAATTGTTAAGTAAATTCTAATCATATTGATGTCTGGTGTCTAGTTAATTTTAGTTTTTGTAAACACAAAATGTGAACCGTGAACAAATAAAAACTTTTCTAATTTATTTGTATGGAACCATCGCTGTGCGAGTCTGACTCGAACTTTACTGGTATTTAACTAGCTACTATTATCGCCCACGGCCCTAGCCGTCCGGTGTCGACGGGTCGCGTATTTCATTAATATTAATATGTCGAATGTCGACCTACAATGTAACAAAATAATTTATACGACAAAATAGTACAAATGATTATTTCACGAAGTGGCATTGTATATCAAAGATTATTGACATGTCGAATGTGATTGATATTATAATCAAATATTATTATTATTGACCATAACACACAACGGAAGAATTTGTAGATTTGATTGCAGTAAATACTATGAATGCCTTTAAAAGGCATATTATTATCTATACAAGTAAATAAAATTAAAGTATCTGTTTATGATTTAAAATAACAGCTTTTCACTGAATACTTACTTAATACTTTTCACTGATCAGATATACTGGCAGAGTACTGCTGAGTTTTACCACCGTACCACCCGCCAGAAACTAAAATACCATCCTGATCATCTGGATGAATGGCGGTCCTCCACAGTGCGGTTTTCTAGAACCTTTTTGCCACGCTCAACCACATTGTGGAATCACCTTCCAGCAATGGTATTTCCGAAGCGATATGATATTGAAACCTTCAAGAAAAGAGCTTATTCCTTTTTAAAAGGCCGACAACGTACTTGCAATTCCCCTGGTGTTGCGGGTGCTCATGGGCGGCGGTAATCACTTACCATCAGGTGAGTCGCAAGCTCGTTTGTTCCCTGTGTTATAAAAAAAAGAGGATAAGTGGAGGAAAGTACATTAAGGCGATTTCTCAAGGAATTGACCACGAAGGTATCATTACGCCACCTAGACTTGGCCTAATGTGGTAATGTCATTAAAATGATATTAATATAAGATAGGATAATAATATAAGATAGGTATGAACACTGCATTGAATACCACATAGGTACATAAAGAGACCAATAGACCATCGAAAAGGACGCCCGAAAAGTATTTTATATTTTCTACGTTCCTCGGCAATATTTTCAAAATGTGCAGCTACAAACAATGCGCATCTTGCGTAGGTAGTGTATTGTATTTTGTACATATACCTACATATACATTGTTTGTTCGCGATATAAAAGTGACAAACCAATATAAATCTTAAAATAAAGTGTAATAATTTGAAATAAGTATGTCTGTATTGATATTTTTTATGTTTATATCTTTACGTTTTTTCAATTGTTACGGGGATTATGTATCTGCTGAAAATATTAATGTATTTCTATTTGGTTCAGAAAAATTCGAATTTGTAGATTTGAGCTATGGTTTTCAGGTTAATTATTTAGATTGCAAAATATCTGAAATAGACGGGTAAGTACAAAAATATTTTTACGTATCTTGCTTTATTTGTACCTACACACGCAGCACGGCTTTGATAGGTGCTAGTTGATATACCTTCGACACAGATACCTTCGGAGAGCCTAGAGAATCTTATATCTTATGCAAGACGCAACATAATAAGATTATGTGCACTGTAACACACTTTCATAAACAGCGGGTATAAATATGTATATTACCTATCCAACCTGATTTTTATTTTTCAGATATTCAAACATTTGTGTAAATGATCGTCTCGGTACTGAAATAGATGCGAATTATAATAATGCCAATGTGTTTGGAAAACAACAAATTGTTGGTAATATTCCCTTGAAAAATCTCATCGTACCATGTGAGTAATTTTTCTATGTTTACCTACTATTTCCAAACATCTATCGGGGGCAAAAGAATTGTTAATATTGGGGAATAGTGACACCGTTTCTAACAATGCGATGTCAGGTTGATCTCCATGTAATTTCTCCTGGAAAATGTCGTGGTTAATCCCCGGTTAATACGCCACGCGCCATTACGGGCTAACTAATCCGATTCTTTCATAACTATATATTGTATAACTCATAGGATTCATACAGAGTTACAACGACCAACTATCTACCTATCTATATTAATAAAGACAATTTATATATCATTTTCAGTGATCATTGCAGACGTCAGCGATAAAGTAAATGGGAATGAAAATTTTGTGTTGTATAAGGAACATCTTGACTATTTTTTGAACAATTATTTTGGTGCCATCCATCAGCCATGTTTAATGATATTCAAGTTTGGTTGGTCAAAGTACTTTAATGATCGTCGAAAGTACTGTGGTTCAGATAGTAACAACAGTACATGGAAATACCCTGGTTAGTAATTTATAGTAGAAACTTAAACTGTTAGGTATTTATGTAGATAAAGGTAAATTCTTTGATTTGCATTAGTTAGTAATAGCAATAATATATGTTAGTAATAGTAATAAGCAGAAGTGATCTAGACAAATGAGACCATCGTGTAGGTAGTTGATATAACTTACCAATTATCTTAAATTAAGTTCACATGTTTAGTCAATTATTATAATAACAAAAATTTAATATTTGTTATGATCACATCCGAAGAAAGTATAATACATATTTATAGATAGATTTTCGGATGGTTTTCAGCATCGAATTAGCGTAGTAGCAAGCGTAGCAATACTACAGCCCCGCGGTATCACTTTTGTCTAAATTCAATACAAAGAATAACTACTATTATCTACTACAATACAAAGAATACTACTTTAAGAATTTACCCACAACACCGGACAATAACAAAAAATAACTGGCTTCCTAGTCCATGTCTATAAAAAAACAGATTAGAACCAAAATCGATGGCCTCTTGAACGAATTTGCTACAATTCCTGTGTTGTTGTAATTTGGCGCTAGTTGACGGCCCACTTAATGTCAACCGTCTCCTATATAGATACAGGAACAGCATTACGGGCATAAAGTTATCATGCGATAGTAGTGGTACCAGTTATGTGTTGTCATTACAAAAGATTAAGATATCATGCCTCTTATTAGCCGAAACACAGAAATAGGTGAGACTGAGGTACCCACGCAAATAACTTTTTGCAGTCTACCTTTGGTGAACTCATTACATATACAGTTGTGAGGACATATTATCATTACATAGTAATTGTAGTCGCTGCTCCTATGTATGCTTAAATCTTTAAAACTATGCAACGGATTTTGAAGCGGTTTTTTATAATATATAGAGTGATTCTAGAGGAAGGTACATATAATACATGTACACCCGTGCAAAGCCGGGGCGAGTAGCTAGTTATTAAATAACTATATGTAGAGGATTCAATATTATTAGCATCATTCATTGAGACAGCATTGGCCTAGTGAATATAAGAGAGAATGTGTGTCCAAATTAGGCCGAAAAGTTGTATGACAAAGTTGTATCTGATTTACTCTCTGCTGATGGAAACTCCGTTACCAAACCCTTGAAATTTTATATAATTGGACTATTCCTATTTTGTAAGACACTACTCATCATGTAAATATTTACACAACGTACTTACTTGTATCACGTAACATAATATTACAGACTTGTATCAACAAAATTTGCTGCAGGTCTAAGTGAAGAAGTAGCACAGTGGATAATTACTTCATACAAGAATATAGTCGGTGTAGGTGTGGATTTGCCTACATTGGACCCTGGCTCCTCTAATATGATGCCGGCTATGAAAACTTTAATAAATGCGGGAATATACACCTTGAAAAATGTTAAATTGGATCAATATTTACCTGGTACGTGGCATTAATTATATTTCAAATAAACACAAAAAGATATGTTTAAATAGATACCTATATTATAATGGCGATAATGAATGAGAGTTTGAGGCTTAGCTATCGTATCGTATCTTAGCGTAATAAAAAAAACGCTATAATCAGAGTTTATCACACACAGAGGCTTGCAAACAAAAGCTGTACTTAGTTTAAAAACTTAACAACAATTGAAAACATTCGTATATACTAGCCTATACTTTCATTCAATGATGTAATCTTTGTCTGTTATAGAGGCATCGTGTACAGCGTTAGTGACGCCACCGAGAATGGATAATGCAGGCAGTTCACCTCTCCGTCTCATAGCTATTTGCCCTAAGTCTCGGATGCAAAAGCCTCAAATTCTTTTACACCATCTCTAGACTAATACTGCACGATAATATAATTATACTGTTGCTAATTAATATTTAGTTAGACAAACATTGTATGTACTTACCTATATAGTCAGTTAATTTTGTCACATTAGTAATGGTGTAATGAAAACTTAGCTATATAAAGTGGTTTTCAAAATAAATTTATATTCTATTTATGCCATCGCTGTATTGCCTGTTACTCATTTACTCTCTGCATGCTCATATATGTATTTAGATTATAAATAAAAAATTACAAAATACAATTAGTAGATACTCAGTTTAAAGTAGATACATTACTTATACGTAGAATATAGTTAAGTACATTATTGTACCTACGTACGGCCAATGTCATACTTATATTCGAGATCATCATCCACTTACAGACAGCATTAAGATAAATAAGAACATGTTATTGACAGGCAGCGGCAGTTAGTCTCATTCGAGATGGCGACTTTGTCTCTTGTGTTAGTTTTTATATCATATTTTTTCATAAATTGCTTTGCAAAACGAGATAGTTTAAACGATTTATTGTTTAGTGGTGGATATGATTTCATTGATTTGACACATTCCTTTGATAACCAGACTGTATATTGGCCTAACGCCCAAAGATTTCAGTTTACTAATCAAATTGCAGACTTTGATTCTACAGGCTCTTGGTGAGTATATAACATTAAGAATGAATAATAATAAATACATTATCAGTGTATGCCATTTTTACCATACGAATGCTGTGAATATAGTGCTGCAAATGGTGAACTGGTGATTGTAAAAACATCTATGTGTATGGCTAATCTGATTGTGATATTGGAGCCCTTATCGTGTTATGTATGTAATCCCAACAAATATCTATTGCAGTTGTGTGACGCTTTTTGTGGTTTACTAGTTAATTTATGAACGATGAATGATAAACGAAATAGTGATACCGCATGCACTGACTGTGTACCCCATGGGCCACTAGTGTATTTCTAAATTCGAATTAGGAAAATTCGATCATTTCATAATTGTAGTGTATTTAAGTTGGACAAGCTAGCAAAAGATAACAAAGCTAGGAAATTATATAGTAATACCACAGATAACAGAATATTACATAGTAATACTAACAATTCATAAGTTAAGGTTTCGTCTTAAACTATACACTCGATTAATCCCAAATTAACTACAGGTACGCGGCTAATGATTTCAAGGCCGGAGAGCATGGAGGCACTCATATCGATGCTCCATATCACTTCACCAAATCGGGTCAACGTGTGGGCGAGTTACCTCTTACTAAATTGATCGCATCATGTATGTTATAACATTTATTTATAAAAAAGTTTATCATTCGTACTATTAGAGAAAAATAAATATTTATTGATCAAAATAAAGTATCTGTATATGAAAATTTCAAAAGCAAGCCTGTTAGGATTAATATTTGGGTTCGCTACTAGAACACTTTTTTAGATACTTAATATTAAGTACAATCATGAATATAACTACATAGATATACCGTCACAATCGATTTTTTAATATTACCTTTTACAGTAATAATAGTTGATATCAGTGCTGTTGTGAACGATGACCCCAACTTCGTGCTATACAAAACTCATTTAGATCATTTGCTTTATTATGAAGACAAGCCGTCTTTGTTGATTTTCAAGTTTGGATGGAGCAAGTATTTCAACGATACTAAAAAGTATTTGGGACAGACTGAGAATGATAATACTTTAAATTTTCCGAGTAAGTATAAAATGTAATTAGGTAAGGCATAATATCCAAGGAATAGGATGATGAAAGATGCTGCAAGGAAAATATTTTGTTTACCTGCTGTACCTATTTATAGTCGGAATTCTTTCAATTTGATTTAGGGTTAGTCTTTGAAGTCAAGTGTTAAACCTTGTAAGAACGTTTAAGTATTAAACCTATTTTATAGCTAAAATTGGTTGAATTACTTTCTCCTTTAACTTCCATGCACAAATTTATTCTCTTAAATTGAAATAATCTAATAACCTCCATTAACAAATATGCTTTATCTAAAAGATGATGTGAGGAGTAGGTTAATGACAAGTTTGAACGGTAGGTACATTATGGCAGGCAAACATATAGTAGAATTAAAAATTACCCCTCCTTTGTTTAAAGTAGATGCGCAATTGAGTTTTTGTTGCTACCATAGAGTAGCATTAATTTACATACACCTGCATAACATGTAAATGTCGCCAGTGGCGTTTGTTTTGCTATAAGCCCAATGTAAGAATATTAATACAGTTGTGTCAACTCGATATATAGATGCACTATAATATTAGACTACTTAATAAAAAATATTACTAGGTAGGTATACAGAGAATCTACACTAGATACGTTATAAGGAAAATATGCCCTCATCTGTTAATCGATAATGACAAAGTTTATATTATATGTTACATAATGGGTACAAATCGCATATGGGTTGGAGGCCTAAATCCTAAATCTAAGGTGTTAAAATACTGAAGTAAGTAAAAAAAAAAGATATCATACGAAATTACTTTGGACACCACTATCGCCGACACGCACACATAATTAATTGTGTAAATCCATTAAACTTAAAGAAAGACGATATCAACTAATAGATACTGACAGTTTAATATCAAATTTTACAATGTATTTAGTGTAGCTAGTCATGAATTCGTAATTTAATATCATTATCGTGATGAAATACGATATCAAATTATATGTACTACAAAAGCTGTAGAACGAATTATTCAGTTTCAGAATTATGATTTAAGTTTTTATTCAAACTATTGGTCGCCCAGTGGTCGAAATTCGACAAAGACAATACTAGACAGTATGAGTCGGTACTTAACACGAGGCCCGCGGGTAGCTTGCTTGCTGCATATTTTTTGGACTTTTCCCATCAATATATTGTTATAAAATTAATTACAATAAAAAGATAGCACATACTAAACTGTAACAATTTTTCCGACGAATCACTATTTGTTCACACATGCAATACGAACGCGCCGCATCTGCGCGAGTAGAATAGAATAGAAATAATTTTATATAAGCGAGTTTTTAATTTTGCATTAAAGTTGTGCATAAAAAATATATATTTTTTTATTCTAATGCTTATTAAATAAAAGATTGCTAACACCCCCGCTCTAAACAAATAATATGAAAGTCAAAATTAATCCGTTTCAATTTGATCATCAATAATAACAATAAATAAGAGTATTGTACATGTGTGTGTGTCAAATTATATGGCAGTGTGTGCAATGTTTTTCTTTTATTAATTTAATGTAATTTTGAAGCATAATCTAAAAAAAAATAGCATTCTGCACTACTTCTCTATATAATATTATATATTTCTCTATATATTATAAGCGTGCGAAATTTCATATCTTCCTCCGTCCGTGCAATTTTCATAAAAAGGGGTAGAGTTTTTGGATAATCTGATATTTAGGGATGTTAATGATAAATAAATTTTGTGTATCTAACACAAAATAAGGTATTCGATCAATATTTTGAAATGCGAATAATTTTTTATTAATTCACTCTTACAGACATAAATACAGATGAAACACTTTAATCACGACCACTTAAACGCTTTTTTTTTATAATCCGTACATTACCACAGCTTTTGTGTTCAATGTTTTTTTCAAATTGAAATACCAAATATACTTTTTAAGGTTTGAGTGACGAAGTAGCAGAATGGATTACTTCTGCCTATAAAAACGTTGTAGGCATTGGAGTCGATGTGGCATCAGTAGATCCAGGAAGGAGCACCGATTTTGCAGTGCACAAAATACTTGCAAGAAGTGGTCTATATAGTGTAGAAAATGTTAACTTACTTCGTCGAGTACCTGGTAAGTTATTCTTTAGACTTCGATGACCCAAATAAGTCCGTAATTAGATAGGACCGTTCCAGCTTTTGTAAACTTAGGAGCGGAGCCCTGTAGTTACTTGGTACTACATGGTAGTAGTACCTATGTACCTAATATTATGTTATGTGGTATTAGTATCGAGTGTCAAATACGCGAGGCAGATAACTTATTCACACAATCAGATTATATAGCCATATTTTGTAAAATAAGGAAATTAATATTAAAATCACTTTAATATTCTTGTACGCATATAACTGAAGCAATCTTACTTACATTATATAAATCTTCGAAAAAAAAATTTAGTACATGCATGGAGTTGATTGAGATTTCATTAGTACTTTTATTTCAGAGACTGGATGCACCGCGTTTGCGTTACCTATGAAAATCGCATTGGGCACAGGAGCTCCATTACGTTTGGTCGCAATATGTCCCACACAAGAGCGCATATGATATAATATGCCAAGATTAAAGTAACTACTAATTTCTAGGGCATGAATGGTCTATGGAATTACAAAAAATAATGTAATAAGATAGAAAAATATTTTTAATCAGGTATACTAAATACAGTCATACGTTTTACTAAGTGTCATGTTGTTGCATATAATATTAATAAACTATAGAAAAACTAAAATAACATGTTTGTATTAAATTATATCATTAAGAGAAACAAACAAGTACTTAATCAACATTGAATGATTAATATAATTTATATTTTCAAAAGTACCCCATTATCAACGAGTTTTTCACATACTAATACGCCATTGTCATCTCTTAATTCTACAATAGGTAGTTTGTCATTGTATGTTATCACTTTTGCATTAAATGGTCCTTTGCCTAAAAATGTATTGCTGTATTCTTGAATAATAACATCCATATCTACGAGTGGGTTTATTTTAATTCCATGTAATTGTACTGACACTGTAGATGGAGGAAGATCTGCCAATTCATTTGGTATCTCTCTAACATCGGACAGAGAAATTACTTCTACATTGCCATAATCCACATATTTTACTTTGATTCGATTTTTTGCTTCACTATATTCTAAAATGGAAGCTCTGTACCACAGACCGTCTTCCGGAAATAGAGCAATACATGCTTTATTTTCAAATATACCATTTAGTGGAGACAGATTGTAACCTATCTTTTGAATATTTGCATATAAATCTTCATATAATATATTTCTTTCATCATTATGTATAATACTCAACTCCAATACATTTATATCACTAATTATGGAAATGTTACACAAAAATTCATCATCTGTATTTTTTGGGTAAAGAACAAAATTTCCATCTAGACATTGTTTCTCTTCTTCTTCATCCATAAGTTTATTCCAGTCTTTACCACTTAAAGATGAGTTTTGCGACGATTCTAAAGGAGTGTGTTCATCTTCTACTATATAGTCTGGGCCCGAATCTGACTCACAAATAACAGTGTCCTTTTTATTTTTAATATTTGTCACAACAAACTTAGGAACGATAGCTTTGGAACCATCAGTATACTTCGCCATTTCAAAGTCTACTAAATGATCATTGAACCACAATTTGTCATATTTCAAATCTATGGGTATCACATCATCAATTTGTTCGCCAGTTATTTTAACCAAGCAATTTTTTTCAACAACAGATTTGTGTATATAATCTAATGTTTGACGATCCCATTGAGATCCTGCAGGTCGTATACGGTTCAAAACACATTTGTGAGCCTGTGTGGGTATTTGATAAAGTGCTATACTTTTTCTTAGATTCGAAAAAGAACATTGTTCTTCATTTCCGTAATCGATGTAGTGAATTAGACAGGTGGAAGTTTCATTGTTCACTTCCAACACTCTTCCTCTATAGAAGCGATTATCTAAAAAGAAAAGTGCGATACATGGCTCACCAACAGTCCACTTGGCGTATTTAGCTTTAGGATCCGGATTTTTGAAACGGATGTCGAGAGCTTTACGAATTAAATCTAATGTATCTTGTTGTGATACATCATGTAAATAAATAACACCATCATTATCAATGTATCTGTAAATAAACATATAAATGGTTCAGTAACTAACAGTTATCCAATATTTATGATTATATTTTGTATACAATGAAATTTATACAGAATTTCATAACTAAATTTAAAATTTGATTTGTTTCTACAATGTAAAATTTAAAAAGTTAACAATTCAGTTTTTCTATTTACAATTGCATATATTTTGTTTTTTGGTAGTATACTTACGTAGGTACCCCTGTAAATTCTTTGTTTTGTAGTGGTTCTGGTGGAAGCCAATCTGATATAAACATGGTATTTGAAACACCTAGTTCCGCCTGTTCAGATTCTTCACAATCAACAGGGCTTGAGGGACAACTTTCAGATTCACGTTTACTTATCAATGGCTTTGATGGCAACGGCTCTAGTTGTAACCATTCACGAACGGATCCTGTTATATTTAGGAATGACAACATGTCATCAGTTGATTCTTTATTGCTGTCGGGCGTAGATGACTATAAAAGAAACAATTACATAAGAAAAAAAAACAATAAATGTATTAAGATCTAAACAAATTTTATTTACCTCTAACAATTTATCTGGAATACCTAGACCCTGATCAATAATTTTCATGTTGAGGCAACGCCATTCTGACTTATTTGGCTCTAGAGCACCTCCTTGTATAGTGTGATACACCCAAATCTCTATGGGCATACTTTTGTCTTTGAAATTACCCAGTTTAGTGATGAATACTCTTTTGTACGCATCAAGTAGTTCTTTTAAATATTCCTTTGTGAGAGATGGCCACTCCTCTCCAACGGCAGGGATTACTCCACATAAATGACATTTTATAGCCGCATCACCTATAGATGCAAACTCAGAAGTCAACTCTTGTAAGTTGTCGATTGGGACTGTTTCCACACATGCAAAGTCGGAATAGAAAATTTTAGCATTGTTGTCTTCTATTTCTATGATAGCTGCGCGACGCCACGTTTGTGACTGAATGCAAATTGTACAGCATCGGTCGCCGACTTTCCACTCTACCTTACCCTGAATTTTCTTATTTGTATAATGTTTTTGTATTTTTTCGAACAATTCGTTGAAAACTTTTTGCTGGTGAACTAAAGAAACATACAAGAGCGATGGAGACGTATAGTGTAAAACCTTAGCTTCCAGTCTCAGTGGCCCCTTATCTTTTGCTTCTAAATCTTCATCTCTGATTTTCTGTTTTGGTGAATGTTGTTTCTTCAGTATAACAATCTTAGCAGTTTTTTTTATCTTTTTAGGTTCTTCTAAGGGCGATTTATTAGTAAACACTTGATCTTCTACAGTATTGGTTTTGTTGAACATAAACAATCTGAAACATAATAAAACTTTAACATTTCCAATTAACCCTAATAAAAATAAACAAACTGTTAATGTTTTAAAAGTAACTAAATCTGTCTGGGTTTAAAAAAACACATTCAATTGTTATATTATTTTATCCGGATTGTCTGTAGTTTAAAAAATGTAGCATTGACCTTGTTCTGAAGCTGGAAATGATCTTACCCAAAAGTAACTGCAAATTTATGTTTTATCATTTCTGTATTGATGCAGATAATGTTTTCTTCATCTGCTTTATCATAAAGGGTGACACCAATTGAACCACGATTGCGACTGTCTTCAACGTGTAGTTCTAAAATACGTTCTTCAAACTTTTGGAGCAAAGCCACAGAACCGGTACTCCATTTCTTATTATGAGGCGTCACGCCAGCTAAGTGGCATTCAATCGACTGAAAGAGAAATAATGATTTTGCAATCATGAACTAAAATATAATATATATTTGTTGTGTGATGAAGGTTACATCTTTAAAAATGAACTCTCAATTATTAAGGTTACTTTCTTGTTACTTGCCGAGTTTAATTTTTAACCCATATATATGGTTTTTCATTATAACACTAATATTATTACAGCATATCTTACTAATATTATAGAAGACATATTAGTATATATTAAACATATAATTTGTGAGTGTGGATGGATGGATGTTTGTTACACTTTCACGCAAAGATTATGATGAACATAAGAATTGATGTTATGAAACTTTACAATAATGTAGATTATCATTAGAATAACACTTAGGTAATAAATTTATCCCGGATACAGCTAGAGATGCATATATATTCTTGGTTAAGGTGGTACATACAAGTGCCTTGAGCGTGGTGAACTTGGGATGTAACTTCCTGAGCGCTGTCCAGTGCACTACCAGAAGCTGGCCGGAATCAGGGAGTAGTGCGCGTACGCGACCACGTCCGTGTAACTCGTGCACTATACATCGAGCCCAGCCGCCACCGTCCTGTGTTATATTCTGGGACTTGTTTAGGTTCACTGCATATACCATGCCTGACAATACGAAAATTCTTAGGTAATAGAAATAGAAATATTGTTTATTGAAATAAACTCAATACAAGCTCTTTTGAATAGTCATATCTTTTTTATTCTATTTCACTCATTTGGAACGCAGACTCATCACAAGAAGAATGAGCAAGAATCTTGTGCATTGAATGAATCTTATTACACAATACCACATACCATTTTCCGTAAATAGAGCAGTACATGCCATATTTTCAAATATACAATTTAGTGGTGATAGGTTGTAACCTATTTTTAAAATATTTTTACTAATCTTCATAGAATGAATTTCTCTCATCATTAATAAAATAGAAATAAATAATAGCAGTTGCATTGAATATTATTTAAAAATGCATGTAACTTTTTGACTTATTATATTATTGTAAATCTCACCAATCTCAGGCAGGTAAACAGTTCCAGTGTTATCAATGAAACTATATTCTTGCAGTAAATCCTCACTGAGTTTATCATAAACATCTTGTAAATGACGCTGAAATTAAATGTGAGAGAGATGATTATTTTAATGTGTATTTCACTACGGATTTGATCTACAATTATGCGTGTTTCTATCTGTCCAGAGTATAGGTTACTTGATACAGTAAGTGTATCATTTTAATACTAACATTCTTACATCATAAATCTTATTTGTTAATATTAAAGTGCGCAGTACCAAGTAGCACTATCTAAAATCCATAAAGCCGTTTTTATCATAATTTTTTCTATTAAATTAATGTTATTAAACATAAATTTTGTCTATGAAATACAAATGATAGTGAAGTTAAATTTTCTTCCGGGGAGAAGAAAATTTAAATTTTTTTATCTCACTCTCACCACACGTCTATGGGTGGTACAAAACTGGTGTTTAAAATGTGTTAAGGATTATCAATTCTTATATTTCAATAAAAAAAGGTTACCTTAAAAGTTACGCATATATAGCTTGTATATGCTTTGTACCGATGATTATCACCTTGATTATAACTTTGTTTACTACTTAATTTCATTATCATAACCAGGACTAAAACAAACCCTACCTACGAACGACCGTCGTACATACAATAAAATTACCCATTCTTTGATTTAAAATTCTGGCAGATTTGATTCACTTACCTTTCTTACAAAGAATTTATCAGGACTAACAACTGTAGTTAAATAAACTTCTTCCACTGATTTCGGTTTTAAGTCATTGTTACTAAGGAATATTTTTGGTCTCTCTATTACACCAGGAATATTTGGGTACTAAAAATTAAAAACATTTGCTATTACAACAATAAACAATGGAAAAGGCTACCTTTAGAAAAAAATATTTAATTTACTTTTAGGGCATACAGTAAGGTAGTGATAGAATTATATCAGTTTATTACAATAATATATTAGTTTTCATTTACTTATAAGTACACCATGTAGTATAGATACGATAACATTATGATAAACTTCAATCAATTTACATGTCATAACTTTTCTCGTCTAATAGCGTATAGTCTAATAGCTATCCCTTCTAAAATAGTATTTTCATTTGTAACAGTCAGTTTACAAACGAAATAAGCATGTCGACTGACACAATTTTATAAATTGACCGCTTTCAGAGATTCAAGGCATTATTATAGTTTTCAATCATAGATCTTTTTTATCTTAATAGAGATAAGTTGTTAAGGTAAAAGAAATGTTCAGATTTGCAAAAGTAGCGACAATCACAATAAAACATCTGTTTTGATAGTATTGTCAATGATAATTAATTCCTCACAATACAATTATAGGATTAAATTAGCACGGAGGCTAACGAATTAAAAGTAGTAAGAAATTTAAACTTCTTGCGCTCACATGTAATTTTGGGTCAAGCATTTTGGCGCGCTCATGATACACTAATGCGTGTGCGACATTGACGCCATCTTCGAAAGTAGTCACATCACAATCTAGTTTCACCGAGTAGTTGGATGTGGAGCACATGCGACGCACGTGGATCACGGCTTGTTTGCTGAAAACACAAAGAATAATTGAAAGACTTTTGAAGAGAAGACCACTTTCATGGCATAGTAGAGTAACATTCAGTGGAAAGACACAAAAAAAATCTTCTCTACTAGGAGAAATCGAGATATCTCCAAGGAGCGATGTGCAAAAATATATATCCGTCAGATTTGCAGAATTGACAAATGTATAATAATCCATAATTGAATAAAAAATCTTATCAATAGATAGAAGAATACTAATTAGATGTCTCTTAACCAATGAGAGATGATGTGAATAATTAGCACTATTGCAACAGATAAGATTCTCTCAAATAATTAGTAATAATTATCAGTCACATATAATATACATTGTTATTAAAAATATTATTAGTCATAATTACAAAATATAAATAAATAATTATGTAATAAATGTAACTTCTAAGTAATTCTTATTACTTACTTGTCAATAATGTTTTGGATCAGAAAAGAGTCTTCACTGGTCCAACCTCCAGATTTGGGCACACAGTTTGCGAGGGAACAATTTATGGCCAGAGGGAATGGTGACTGTAGCCTTGCTGGTGGTAGAAGGCGTAATCTAAAAAAAAGAAAAACATACATACTTTTCATCTTGTCTCATCATTGTAAGTATGATAATACAATTATAATAACTGTATAATATAATTATTAAATATAGCATATTTTCTGTTTTTAATTAACTTATATTAAGAATAACTATTTTTATGTAATTGTTCAACAAATAAGCTGACGGTCCATCTGATGGTAAGTGGTAACCGCTGCCTATATGCGTTAACAGTATTACGGATATCACAGTATCGTGTGACTCCTGTCATTACCGGTCATGCACTCTAGAGGACTCAGATGACAAGTCTCTTATTCTAGAATAACACTTGCCTTACTTCAACAGAAAAAAAACCAGAATCGCGAAATTGTAGAAGCACGTCTGTAGAAATATGTTAGTGTGAGGTACCTTTAAATTATATTGGTAACTAAAGTAAAGTAGTAAAAAAAGACAATAACATCTGCTATCAAAAATCATGGAAAAGCGATAAATATAAATGCTTACTTACTTGTCAATTGTAACAGATTCCGTGCTACCAAAGTCGATACAGAATACTTGGAATATAGGTTTGTTTATATCTCTCTTGTCAATGCTTATAATGCGGCACCTCTGCCATAAGTTATCGGGTTTGTTGAACACAAGGTACAGTTTTCCTGAGTACAGCAAAAAAAACAATTTGCAATGTAGGTATATCGCGGTATCAAGTTACGAATAAAAGGAACTGAATGCCACACAATGCATGTTAGTGTTCAGACTAAACACTTTTGAATAAATAAAATTGGTTTATATACCTTCTGCAACGTGGTTTATAGACGGTTTTGGCAAAGACACGGCGTTACGGAAGTCTCGCATCATTTCCTTCACAAGTGGTTGATGACAAGATCTTTGTACAAAGAAATTATGCGGATCCACAATATGCGATATGTATATTAATTCTTGCATACCTGTAAAGAAATATATTCATGGTTTCCACATTTGAAAAAATAATCTAATTAATAAAAAACACAATTTATTTTAGGTCAAAATGTTGCTATATCCAATCAACATTTTATAAATAACTTACGTGCTTGTACTAAAGATACTAAGTGATAAGAATAAAAGTAACTCAGACAGTTTTTATTAAATATATATGAATAATATACATATGTAGGGGAAAGGGTGTTAGTAATGTCTAATGACTCCTTAGTTAGCGATGCACCATGTCAGGTTGATCTTCTCGGCGACCATCCCGACCTGACCATTTGCTTATTTTATCATTCCCCACTGGTGTACTACCAGCGTAAACCTTTAGCGCACGCGGCTACACCATTCCATTATCATCCATTAAAATATGTATTCAAGAATAAGAATAACATTTATTTCGGAAAACTTAAGTAACATATATAATATACATAGGTATATATGACCAAACACAATTTACATCATTAGTGTATTGTGCTGGAATGAATGCCCGATTATCGGAAAGTGTGTGGCAGTATGTCCAATAAAAATCAGATGAAGTATAGATATGTATACGTTTAGTTACATATAGTATAAATTGGAAAGTACATCTATGTGTTACCTTTTCACGTCTAAACGGAAATTTGATATGAAAAATTTATCACTAGGATAGACTTAGTCTGTATGTTATGTTGACATAAAAAGAAGACGAATTACGCGGATAACATCTAGTCTAGAATAAAAACTTACCTTCTTGAAGTTGTTTCGGGTGTTGACTTTCAGCAAATGGCTGAACATGTTGCACAACTGGCTTTTGCATGAAATCATCTGAAAATGTGAAATAACAGTATATTTCAAAGAAATAAATAAGAGTTAGAATTATACATTCTTACAAAATGTTATAATAATATTTATCTATCTTCGCTATTAGATTTTACAATTTTACTTAAATTTCTTAATAGAAACTATTTACTTTGCGTTATTGATCGACTTGAAGACTCACTGCTAAATGAGTGGAGTGAGGAGGTTGAACCAAATTTAGTACGATAATTGGGAGCAGATTTATAAAACGTGGGCTGCGCCTTCTGGTTAGGCTTGTCTTCTTTTACTTTATTTGATTCCCTTACATCTGAAAAAAAAATACCGATTATTTAGATTTCATACATATATCACTCAAAGACAATGTAAAACAGAATTAAAAATTATATAGTGTTCTTAGAGAAACTATTACAAATTAATTGTTAGATATAATTAATATAAATCTGAACTTATTCTGAAGTACCATAAAGAACAATAATTTTGTTTTACAAAATACCTAAGATAGATAAATTTTGATGTATCCTTCATTGAAATATGTAAAATTTACAATACTTCTATAGTATTCTAGTCTATTAATTTAACATGATGACTAGAATTTTAATTCAGATATATTTCACTAACTGCCTTTTTTATAAAACAAATGGCCTTTGCGTGATGTCATATTTCATAAAACATACACTTATTTATAATATATATATATTATTTACAGGTTTGAAATAAAAAAATATTGGTTTGTAAGTTTATGCTGTAAAAATTACTATATGTATGGAAATCACAGAAATATATTTTTGTGTTGTATAATATATCGACAGTAATGGTATCACTAGCACTAGCATACGTACGTAAATATTGAAAATGTTCATATAAAATTTTATAACCAATAGTCTAAAACAAAAGCTTACGATTTAAAAAATCCCTATCGCAGGTACAGCTGCTTACATTTGAAAATTTGACATTTACACCTGTCAATAGGCCTCCGAGATTAAAAAATACTACCCGATGAGATGATACTACGTCTTAAGTTAGGATAGGTTAATTTGAATATATATAACAATAATTTTTATTTTAATCCTTAGCTTAGATTTTAGAATTTAACTAAGTTTTCGAAATCTGCCCTAAGAGGGTGTGCACCCCTGGGTTCGGCTGGCTCTGAGGCCCCAGCCTGCACCCCCTAGTGAAGTGCAGAAGAGCAGTGTGTGACTATAGATAAACTTACCTTTAGGCAATTCCGGAGGATACACAGGTGTGGGAGGCGGAGGTGGTATTTCAATATCACCAAGTTCTGATGTTGCACATAGGCTATACACTTCACTGGTATTACCTTCTAAACGTACATAATCACCAATTAAATCAACAATGTCTTCCTTCACAACCACTCTGTAAAGCAAAATAGTAGTGGTCATTAAAAATTTATTCTCTAAAAATAAATTTGACTACATTAGTATTTTTATAATTCACTAGCTGTGCCAGCGGTTTCACCGGTGTGAAATTTAAAGCCGACGTATGAGCTATATTATTGCACAGTTTTATTAAAATACATTCAGTAGTTTTTGGCGTGAATGAGTAACAAACATCCATCCATCCACAATCACAAATTTCTGCATTTATAATAATATATATATATATATAGTAAGAAGTAAGATTTACTTCATTGCTTCATCACTTGACTCTTCTTTTTTTAAATACCAAGGAGTTTCGACAATTTCCTGGGCGGTTTGAAGCAGTACTGAGAGGTTAGTCTGAGAAAATAAAAAAATATACTTAAAAAAAGCTAATGATTGTAAGTAAAAAAAAATGTAAATAGTTTTAATTCTAGATACAGTAAATTATAAAAATATGTTAAACCTTTTTGAGCATTGTAGGATTTGTAGTTAAATTTATTATATTCATAACAGCCTTTGTTTTCTTTATTGATTCACATATATCATCTTTCGCCTTCAGAAGCGAGTCTTTTTCTGTATATTTATACTTTGTGACAACACCTATAAGTTTATTTTTATGTAATTGAATTTGAGAAATAAGTTTAGAGAAATGTTGTTCGATGTTAGCAATCATTTGTGTGGACTCGCATGATGAATCCATGCCATTTTCAATATTATACAGCAAATGACCTATATCCTGTAATAAAATTGTAGAGTTTTAGAATGAAACAACAATATTACAAGATTATTTCAAATTAATGTTTTCATTAAATACACATATAAAGAAAGATAAATACAGGCAGTCTACGAGGACAGACATGTTTTTCATATGTTTACATATAAAACTCAAGGGTTATAATCCAAACTAACCGAAAGAACTAATAGCCCAAGAGCCCACGACTGCCAGACATACGTCATTTTAATAAACGTGAAAGTTCTTGTATGTGTGTCCCCAACACAGGTAAGAACGATCCCCAAATATGAAACCTGGATCGTGGTTCCTTTGGCAGGTACCAGGTAACAAAGGTGTAAAAAAAAATCATATCAAATTCGTTATTTTAAGAAACTCCATATTTTCATATATTGTTCGTAGCATTATACGGTATATTGGGTAACAACGGTGTATACAATTTCATATCAAATTGTATACAACGTTGTTACCCAATATACGGTTTCAATGAGTCTGGTAGGATAAGGAACCAAGAAAACTGTCTGGCAATTTAGGAAACTCAGTTTGAGAGAACTCTCAATAATATATATAAATTTCAGCTTTATTAAAATGACGTAAGTTTATTTCTAACCCCGGGGGGGTTGGAACCACACTACGGGTCTGGCAATGAGCAGCGCAAGTTATAATAATGCTACGAACAACATATGAAAATATGGAGTTTCTTAAAATAACGAATTTGATATGATTTTTTTTACACCTTTGTTACCTGGTACCTGCCAAAGGAACCACGATCCAGGTTTCATGTTTGGGGATCGTTCTTACCTGTGTTGGGGTCACACATGTAAGAACTTTCACGTTTATTAAAATGACGTATGTCTGGCAGTCGTGGGCTCTTGCTCTATAACTAAACAAGCATGTGCGGTGTAATCCCCGCTCGCCGACACCGCGTCCCGCCAGCCCCACGGACATTAAACTCGCGACAAGTGAATTCTCCTAAATGCCGGAAATCGAATCGACATTAGTAAGGTCTGCCTGTATTAAAGACAATCATCAATATGAAATCCTTAATTGCATATTAAATATTAAAGACTCTTTCAAACAGGAATCTAGTTGTAATTTCAAATGGTAAAAGATATAAATAACACTTACAGATGCAGTTTTAGTCAGTCTTCTAAATATTTCATCAACTTTTGGATAAATATTGTTAACGTCTTCAATTAAGGTTTCATTCTATGGAAAAAAAAATATATGTTCAATTTATATTACATTGTAATATACAAACTGATAAAGTATAAGATACTTACTATTTCTTGTATGGAGACAGTGTCATGATTCTTACAAGAATTTACTCCACCAACCATCATACAGTCCATGCAAATGGACTTTAAACAATCCTTGCAATAATAATCTAAGCTTTTGTCTTTGTGTGTTGTGCAATTGTTTGAATTATTTAAAGGTTCTAAAAATAATAGAATATTGTAACTATAGTTCCTTTAGATTCATTATTGAACACATTAAAATTCAGTACAAACAAGTATATTATTTCAGATGCAAACTTTGTTGAAATACATTTAAATTAAGAAATATTTTTATATATAATGCAGCTTTATACATTAGTGAGTTGGAATAGACCAGTAACAGCTGACCTAACAATTACAACAGTACAGTTATACATAATACAATTTCGGTCGTCCGCTGGTCCTTACGGACCGCCGGGTGCGGGCCTCGAGCATATGCTCTTTGCCCGGGCGTACTGCTGGGGTGTGCCACCCCAGCGTCGTTCGTTTACAAGCAGCCGGCTGAGGGAGTCGTGTGAGAGGACTGTTTAAGTCGCTCGCCGAGCCGGCTTAACGCCGCCACGTCACGTAAATGACGTGATCACTCGGTAGAGAGTAAGTCGCGCGTCCGGTGGGCGCGCGTGGAGAGGGGCGAGGTCGCGCAGGTGCGCTTCGCGCCCGCTGTCCACGCGCGTCAACCTCACGACGAACTGCTCCACCGATGGGACCTTGAGGTCGCGGGCGTAGTTATACATCATTCTCACTCTATAGCTAATATTAGCAACACTGTTCAGTAAGCAGATTATATATGAGAAAGCTAGTTTAGCACTAAAAACTAAGCCATAGGTTCAAATAATTGAAGGCACTGGAAAACCTTTCACAAATTCTACTCCAGATGTTTAAATATTCAAGGAATGGATAATTTCATAGTCTAACTTATTCCTAAAAGACAACAAACCTATATTTTTAAGCGAGTGGTTTTTGAAAATAACAAAATTCTTGTGTGTTTTATTGAAGCATGGATCACATAGAATAATACCACACTGTTGGCACATTTTTGAAGTGGAGATATGGCATTCTAAGCATTCTCCTGGAAGAAACAATTATTTGTTTTTAAAATTATTTAACACATTCTAAATCCATGTATATAATAGCTTTTCAAATTAAGTACCTTGAGTATTATCAATATTATGTATTATTGTTTTTATATCAAGGAAATGGTTTGCAGCTTTTCCAGTTTTCTTCTTTAGTACCAAGTTTTCCTGTAATTTGTACAATAATATGAATAAAATAGATATATGACAGATTCATATTTTTTTATACTGAAAATAATGAATTACATTATTTAGTATAGCAGTAGACAATACATAGAAGACTAGTTCTTAGCTACATTCATTCATTCAAAAAACATAAAACATTGCAGTAATATTTCATATTATTACTGCAATATTTTATGTTTTTTTGATCCATTAATACCTACTTTATTATGACAAAATGTTGACACTTAATTTCCTACTACATAACATTCATTTAAAAAGCTATAAAATATTACCAATATAGGTGGAACCTTCTGTTAATATCAAATACCATTCTTAAAATTTTCATGATGACAACAAATATATACAGAGATATATATTTATGACAAAGTATTTACATATTCATTTATTTCAAATATGCCTTGTACACTATAGATTTCATTTACAATCTTACATTTAAAATAAGCAGTCACTAAATGTGTAATATACAAATGTTGATAAGTGAATTAGAATAATGTTATTGACTGTTAGCACTAAACAAGTAATTACTATATTTACTGAATAAACAAACTACTTACATTCAGCAGTTGTGAGTAAATTTCACCAAGCATGTGAACATTGATGGGGAATAATTGATACAACTGTATTTTGTTTTGCATCAATAAAACCAAGTCATTGCTATCAATAGCCATATCTCGGTGGCATACTCGGCATTCTATAGGCTCAGTAAATTTAACAATGTTGCTGATACATTTTTCACACATAGTATGACCACATGAGAGGAACAATGGTATGTTGTTTAGTTTTGGTGCATTCAGAACTGGAATCACAATAATACAGTAATAATTAAATGTTCTTTTTTTTTAATAAAAAATATAAATTGTAGATAAATTTGGAAAAAGTGTGAATTTATCACTATGATCTGACCTCATGCTCAGCTTATCATCCTTTACTAGTGTCCAGCTAGCAACAGGGAGGATTTGTTAACCACATTATCACTTAGAATGCCCTTTCCCTATATTTTTATTTAGTGTGGTTAAGTTCATACAAATTAACACTATAAATAAAATACCACCATATACTTTAAATTAATATTTTTTCAATGATTTTTAAACACAATGTTTAAAAATAATTTTTACTATATAAAGAAACGACACAGAACAGCATCCTTATGCTGTTCTGTGTCGTTTCTTTATGACAAATGTTATGCTAGTTTACATTGAAATTGGTATTTCAATGTTTATTACGTAGGTAGTTAGCAGTAGTACGTACATGTGCAGGATTCGACAATGTACTAAATACCTAATATAGACGCCATTTTATGTTTAATATTATTTATTTTTACACAGGTACTATAGAGGAACTTTGCCTTTAGCGTAAAGTTATTGACATTTAAAAACTTGAAAATGTTTTTAATAAAATGGGTTCTTCTGTAGCATAGTAGGCATATACATAATTACCCGTATGTCTTGTTTTCATACAGTTTATTCAATAATAATCATACAGGTATATAATATGCGAGTTTGTGAATACGTATTTATTTGGTATATAAATATTATATTTCAAATAGTACTTACCTAAAGTGTATAGTTGACTGCAATTTGGACAATATTTCTGAATATTAGTTTCCATTGTACACTTTTTGGGTTATATACATTCAAATTAGATTTCTATTAATTACAAATTAAATTAGCAATTCTCTATTTACTTCAAATAGTGACTGTTTAAAGTATATACAAATTCGAACAAAACACCAATTTGTATAATATTTGTACAACCGGCGCAATGAAGAAAAAACACTATGAACGACCATAGACAAAAAAAAAGTATAGGTTTGTGTAGTTTGTTACTTCGTAATTGATTTAGTTCGCAACTTTCACTTTGTTTCGAAAAAGACACTTAATACGCCTAAAGATGTCCCGTGGGCTAATTATGTAACACGATATGAAATTGTTTCTGTTGAAGTTGTTTTTAGTCTTTGTCAGTCTACTATTATTTCTTTTTTCACTGAATTGAGTTAGGAACGATCGAATAGAAAAAATGAACTAGTTCGAAAGATACCTGCGAACTAAATAGAGCGATCCGAGTTGCTACTACCACAGATAACATAATATATACTACTACGAACTATCACATGTGCAAGATTAATAATATACACAAACTGGGAATACTTTATTTGCTAACTTACAATAAATCTATCAAGTGGTGTATACAAACATACTTATATAGAAATACTTTATATTTAATTTTAAACGATTTTGACGTTTTCTACTTGTAAACGAAACACAGATTTTCAAAACGTGTAATGAATAACTGAAATTTGAATTTAGTGAGAGTTAGCTTCAGTCTCAACTAGTCTCAAGTCTCCACGTTGTATCTATCCGATTAATTCTTTTATAGCACTAAATTTTAACATTCAGCTGAATATATCTATAGCGAAATTATACCTAATAACTATTTACTGAAATTATTTAATAAGCTGAATTGCATGCATTTAAATGACGCGGAACGAAATGGTTGAAGATAATGCATTAATAATATATCTACAATAATCCTCCCTATAACACGGTATAGGAATTCCGCGTTATAGGTGCGATGTACGAGTACCCTTTTACAATGCGCCTAGCACCTGTGTGACATATAACGCGTTATGTATATGAAATGACAATGATACACGTCTTATATAAGAAAATACTAGATATGTTATGAACGAAACGTACGAACGTTAAAAATAAAAAAAATGTTATTTTCTAATAGATGAACTTCTTAATTAAAACATCTTTAATCTTGTAGGTCTATTACAGACTCTTATGATATGTCAAATCTACCGTCAGTTCGCAGTGCTTTCGAGCTGAGAAGTACTGAAAAAAACTCAGCTCTTAGTTATACCAAATGAGTTTTTACATGTTTACTAAAGTAATTTACACTTTAGTAAACATATATAGGAAACATATATACTTTTGTACACATAAATTGATTGTTAAATTCAAATTTGGGATAATAGAGTGACGACCAACCAGACAGAAAATAGGTATATTATAATATACTTACCTATTTTCTGTGAGTACTTGTGAGTTGCCGACCTTTTAAGTAGGAGTGGGGGTAGGGGAAGGAATTTGGAAATAGATAAGAGGGAGCAGGACGCGTGTCCGAAACATTGCCTCATTCTGAAGTGGCGTGGTCTTTCCAAGTTCGAGTGGGCCATTTGTGGTACACAACTTCCTACGAGTGATCAGACAGTATGCTCCTGAACAGAACTTTAATCAAAAAATTATTCTATTTTTAAAACGATTATTTTTATTATTATTGTCGGTACTCATATATGTATTATCGTGTTATTTTTTTCTGATAGATAACATTATTTTAGCGTCCACATCGTATATGTCATAAGGTAAGTATGTATATTAATATTACCCGTCTCATTAGAGCGAAGATATTTCCTCTTCGGGTATACCTACCCATGTAAAAGGAGTCATGAGATCGTACATAACAAATGGAACTGGCGTTATCATTTGGAACAAATTAACTTTTTTAATATGGACTTTATCTTGTACAATTATTTTAAGGCTTTTTGAAAAATCTTTTTAAATAATTAATTTCAACTACGATTGATCTTACTGTACCTAAACCTAACTATTTATCTGAGGGAAACAGTAAAAAGTCATTTGCGTGGGTAGCATAGTGTCCTCTATCTAGCCGTCAAGCAGCTTCCTTTGTATGTTGTTTTGGTAGTGGGTTTCGGTTATGCATTTAAATTACAGGCTAAGAGGCATGACATCTTATTCCTCTGGAATAGTAACATATGAGTGGTTTCACGGGTCACATGATAACGTGACAAATAAATATCTTCTGATGAATAATCTTTATAAGTATCCTAAAATTCATTTTTAATACCTCAAACTGCTGTGATATCTATTGAAATTAGAACCAATTTTATCCCTGATTTTGTATTCATAACGTCAAAAATATTTCAGAAATTACAAAATTAAAACTTACAAGATCTAGAAAAAAATTTGAAGTGCGAAAAAGTATTAAAAGACTATAATGTTTTTCAACCTCTACTTATGTACATAGAATAACATTAAGTTGCTTCCGCTGTTTTTTAATTTAATAAATAGTTAGAATTTATTAAAAAAAAATACTAACTATGTTTTAAGAACCTAATTACGATGGAAAAGTTTTACATGCATTTCAAATGTAATAATAAATGTGCGATGCAAGAGAAGCTTTGTTTACCTACGTCGCAGTCTTTTCAATTACAAACGAATACAAATAATGTTCAAAGTTATGGCGTCAGTGCTAAAAAACATGCATGTATATTATATACATGCATGTTTTTTGCAAGTTAAGTCTTTTCAAGTTATTTTGAAATATACAACATAATTGTACCTATATTTCAAATAGTGCCGACAGTTAAAAGTGGCGTATTTTATGAATAACCAAGTGCATGTATGTAATATTCTCATATCCACAAATAATACCCCTATCAAAATGCTTTACCTACTTCCACTTACGATTATTGTTTTTCGGTATTTTCACAAGACTGGACTGTTACTATGAAAATAAGCTGGGTGCATATTATTTTGACTGCGCTTACGGTTTCTCTAGTACTCAGGGAAATGTAGAGGTCAGCCTCATCTTAGTGGTACGATATCAAGTAAAGGCGGTCGTTCGTTACGCGAACATTGTGCGCTTGGCTGTCCCCGAAAGCGCACGCAAGTATATTTGTTACGCAACTATACTATTCAACCAAGTATCACAGACCGTGCCGGTGACTTATCAACCACGACTATTAAAGTATAACCCATGTTACGAAATACGTCAATCCTTTTCTGAGACCTTCAGTGGCCTTCAATGACGGCTGAAGCCTTAACGATTGTGACACGATCGAAATGAACATGTGTGTATAATGTGGAGAATTTTGTGATTGTATTTGAATGTAACGGTATTCAGAATCATGATGAAGGAAAAGTTTTTTTCTACACTCTGCATGTACATGGTGTCGCTTCTCACGATTATTGGTAAGAAATTCACACGATTTACAAAAAGCTGGTTTGTAGCTAAATACTATTTTACATATTGATTTCAAAAAGGAGAAGACTCTCAAGGTGTCAAATTTTTAATTTTACTCACTATTTACATATATTTTACGATATCTTATCAGCAATTCTGAAAAGATTTTTTATACTTCTTAAGATTTTTCATGTTTGAAATCGGTATTTTTAATAAAACCTTTATTCTTCAGTAAATATGAAGCATTGTATCTAAACAATAACTTTTCAGATATGAGTAACTAAAAACTGCAAGAATAAAATAATTGATCGCTAAATCTGAGACGATATTTCAGATAATTTGTCAATTTGCCTGATCTGGAGAACAGAGAAGTACTTTGTAGTTTTCTGTCGAGTCGACTGGAACTAAAATATCTGCAGAACAGTTAGAGAGATTTATAAAGGGCCATTTGTACAATGTTTGCACTCCTTATATGCGCAGAATATCGCGTTCAATTTTATGTGTATGTTAGGGTCAGGTTCAGTTTTTGAAGAATCGTTTGTGGGAAGTCTATATTATATACGTAGTAATAGTTAGTTATTCAATAATGCTAAGTCTATCATCTTAGTAAATGATGTATAGTAATGTATACACCGCTAACTTATAAAAATTTTATGTAATATCGTTTTATTCTTTGCTTTATCATCCTTCAGTATACATGTATGAGCACTTGGGTAATAACTGTAATATTATTTTCAAACACTTTTATATACAAAACTGTGGAACAAACTTATATAGTTTGTACCACAGGTTTGTACGAATAAAATACTTAATCCATTTTTTATCTACATAAACAAATTCATGTAAAATTGTTAGTAAGGAGATGGTTCTAAAATACAATTAAAATATTTAGAGCTAGAGCTTCTTACAAAAAGTAGTCTCAAGTTACGTAGAGACATGTTTATTTTTTTATATTATTAGGATTTTTAAACTCGATTAATGTGCCTCGATACCTTTTGAATAAATTTTTTACTTTCTTTGTATGAGATTCGAATATACTAGCGTTACCTATAGAGATTCTGCTAAAAAAGCCCTTTATTATGGGGATAACTTTATTATGTAAAAAAATATATTACCATTTTCAGGTGGTGCTGAAGAAGGCACTCGCGTGAAGCGCATCCGTGCTGATAGTGCCGCATCACAGGAGCCAGCTCAGGCCCTGGATGCACCAGATCCAGAACCAGCATCAGCTCCCGCCCCTCCCGCATTTCTTAGCCGCTCTGTTAAAGAATACCTGGAACTTGGAATGGCTATTCCTGGTAAGTTATCTGAAATAATTAGCAACTCTGCTCCGGAGCAGAGGTACCTTCCGGTCTTGTATATACTTAACTGTTAAAACTGTATAAGTAATTGAACAACTGAGCAAGTAATCTGTTAACCAATATGTTATTTTACTAGGTGAAGATTTTTAAACATTTTCTTTCAAACAATCCTTGTTCTCACAATTATAAACACAACTAAAAAGAATTGGTCAATACCTATTCGTAGTATAGTTTCTGAATGTTCTGAAAGATTGCGCTTAAATACATTCGGCAATTGTGCACATTTATTGCTTCGGTATACTATTAATTTTAATGTATATATAAAATTAATACAGCTCAAACCGTCTACACTGATATATGGAGCAATATTGAAGCAGTTATGATAGGAGTAAGATCAACTAGGGAAAACTATAAGAAATCGCCTCTGAATTCGGTGATCTAGGAAACGCCCGAAAGCGTTTTCTACCACTGCTGTAATATTGATCCTGGTTTTAGAACCGTATAGGCCGTTTAATATTTATTTCCATACACATCGATTCTTATGTAAACGATTGGCTGCGTGAATAGACGGAGAACGTAATGAGGCATTACTTTGATCAAGGTATCATCATGTAGATAAAGTCGTGCTATTATTTATTTAGGTTCCGTCTCGGCTATACATGACTCATACAGATATTTCTATATACAATGTGATATAATATATTTAATATTTCCCATCTCATCCCATATTAGATGTTGCAATAAAGGTCTTTGGCCTCTGTGGTCTAGCGGTTTAGCACATCGCCTTCCTTCCGATGCGCCTTACTTCGATTCTTGCACGATACCTACTAGATGTAACAATGTTTTACTTTCGACAAAACAAAAACTGGTCTCTTTTGTTTATAAAATTATCAGTATTGATAATACTAATTGTATAAATAGGTATATAATGTAATAAAGAGTTTGCGCCGCTTTGTGTATATGGGCTGCGTAAAATCGGGAATAGGCAACTCAAGGTGACATTTATGATACCAAACGTAAGTAGCCTTGTTCTAATAAGGACTCGTTTTGTATGTGTATGGCTTACTTCTTAATTGTGCTAACAATCGTGCATTAAACCAAGGCCATAATCATAGTGTTGCTTTAGGCAATTCGCTTACTATGTCGGCCACTTGAGGTCATACGTAGTTTTATTGATCCTTAATGATTAGAAGTTCTAAAACCTTTGTTATATCTATAAACACCTACCTAAGTATAACTATAATTAAGCTTATGCTGTTTAAGAATGTGAAGTGAGAAATGGGGCCATAGTTTATTTTGTATCTATACTTATTAGTCTACAGTGTGTACGCGTGTTTGCTTGCATTATTATGATTATCACATTAGTAGTGATTTAGTATGACTCACAATATTTTTTGCCATAAGTTGAAAGTTTATAATTAGTTATGAAAGAACAATATTACCTATATAAGATTGGTTACTATAAATATGTGCATTACAACTAGGTGTTACTTATTATAACTTGTTCTGATATAATAAGGTCCTCTAACAAACACCTTATTATAGAAATGTATCCCACTATCTTTACATAAATGCTTCCACTCTTTTTCTAATACTAGATAGTTTAATAGATAGCTTAATTACGTCACTACTCTATCATATGTATACATTCTACTTCTATTTAAGAAAAACTAGATGCATCGCTTTGTTTATTTGATTGTCTGAATTCGTCCTTTTCTTATATAATATATATTATTTAAATATTTCTATTCAAAAATAGGGGTTGATAGTATTAGGTTGAAAATTTAGCATTGTATGTATATGTGTTACAAAATTTTTAAAATAAAAATTTAGGCGTATCATCCTAATCATTATCGGGTATGTAAAATTGTTTACGTCCTATTCTCATACCTACTGGATATATATACAAATTTTCATAAGAAGAGTTTTGTTACAAGCCATGTATTACGAGAATTTAGTGTAACATTGAGAAAAATTATTACTAAATATTATATTTTTTTTTGTTTTATGAGGTTCTCTTATTTTTCTATTGCTTAGGTATACAATACAAATATACATTTTTTACTATAGGACATAATACTATCATACTACGAAGCGATTCATAATATAAAGTTGTAAACGGTGTATAACGGTGAATGTAACTAGTATGCTCGCCTGCATAACTAGGTGATCGATGTGCGCGTTCAAGAAACCGCTTTAAATCTTAGTAGCAATGGTGAGCGGTACTTACTTACGATGACGATTATGATTTTGTTCCAAAAAAGTATTCAAATGGTGACGAAAGCAAAGTAACACGGAGTAATCAAAACTCGCACAGAAATTACGAATTTTCAGTACACTTTAAATGAGGGGGAAGGGAATGTTAGCAATGGGGACAGCGTTTCCATCGCTAACAGTGTATGGTCTTCCACGCGGTCCCCGTGGAAACCCTTATAGATAATATTTGGTGAATTTGCCACAATGACTGACTTTATGGTTTTCTTATCATTTTCTACTGTCGCTGTCTGTTTGGCCAGGTGGTTTACCATTTATTTACATATAATTAATTAAAAAGAGTACATCGTAAATTCGTTACTAATCGACTTTGCAGAGGTAGGTACTTCATATTTTTGCTGTCGTCGTTTTATAACTGACCATTAAATATTGATTATAATTAAGCATGTAATGGATTTCAATCAAAATCAATATTACGTATGTCTATTGTATTAAATGACTAGATAGACCGTATAGTTAGAGTATCTACAACAAGTAATTGAATTTTTCTAATTAATATCATGATAACCTAGGCATTGGCAGTTCGTGCAAATCGCCGTGATTCACATATATCACATATAAGGTCGCATGAAGGTAGTCCTGTGTATATTAGGTACATATAGATACTATAATTCAACATATAGGATTATTTAGTTTCTCAATCGCTACAAAATTGTAGATTCGCGACAATTTGTAAATTTTATTTATTTATTGTTCTATACCAATTTTCGACTAAATTATAATAAAATAAGATCTATGAGATATACTTAGTTATTAGTTTTTTTATTTGAACGTAATAACCATCACATAAATTTATATAAACTACCCAAATGATAAAAAATACGGTATTCATCGCTAAGAAACGAATATTATACATTTTCAGAAACGATAAAATGATATTTAGACTAATTAGAATATATCTTTGCGGCTTTGTTGATATGTTCCGTAGATAGGACAAATGTTTAGTGTTTTTTAATACTAAAATTTAAATAATAAAACAATAATAATACTTTTTAAAATAACTGATATAATATCTAATACGGAAAGTTATAGGATGTACATTTATTATATTACTACCAATAAAGATTGAATAATTTGATAATGCTACAAGTTTATTTACGTCGCTATCAAATTGTTTTAATCATAGTTGAATGTCAGGGCACTGTATATGACCGATAGATTTGATTTGACATTGATATGTATTAATCATTTCTTGATACATATCAATCACATAGGTATCTATTATTGTAACGGTAAGAACCGCCTATGTGGTGTACCTAGTGTGGAGGTCCTATATTTTTATGACTTATCGACTATAGATATTTTCGGTACTAAAAATAATTTTTGATAATAGTTACTTCCTTATATTTTACAAGAGCTCGAAAAAGTAACAATTGAACTTTAATCAACAATATTTACTATACCAAAAAAAGGGACCAACCCGGCAGCAAATATTATTCATTGCATAAATAATGATCAATACTGGTGCTGAATTGGTTCCGATATCGCGTAACATACACACAAACAAGTTTTCTAAAAAAGTGAACCCCGTAATTTCTAAATGTTACAATATTATTGACCCATATTTAGTTTATTATGTATTATTCGCGTGAATTTGTTTGACATCATTATTTTTTTTACTGTATGCAAAACGCATATAAATACCTATACCACGACTGTTTTCCCGGATGAGATAGTCAGAGGCATTGATAACTGTCGATGTTTTGAACACTTTGTTCGATATATTTTGAATTTAACTTGGCAGGCACCGATTTAATGATGATGATTAATTTTTGGTTAGATATTGTTTTTTTTCAATGTAGTGCCAGTCAGAAATATAAACTGACGTACATAATTCTTTTGGTGTCGTCTGATTGAACACACGGTCTTTTGGGCGTAAATCGACGTAGTGAACCGCTAGGCTACAACGGTCTCTTTTATCTATACATACATATAAATAAAATTGGAGTGTCTGTTTGTAATATTGACACAAGCGTATTTTACTAGATACATGCATAGGAATATAAATAAATAAATATATAAATAGAAAAAAATACGGTACTTACACCAAAATAACATTTTTTACAATTTTTGTCTGTCTGTCTCCATTTTTCCATTTTTCAGCCATTTCAGAGATTAGCCGGAACAAATGTTCCGGCTAATCTCTGAAATGGCTGGACCTATATTAACGGGACAGGTAGGTGATGTAATAAGGAGTAACTTAGACTACTTTTATTTTGGAAAAAGATAAATTCGTCGCCGACGAAGTCGCGGGTACAGCTAGTTTAATATAAAATATATGTATTCTTATAGATATATAAAAATCTCGTAACAATGCAATAATAACTAATAATCAAAAGTCATGCAATTTCAAGAATATATCTAGTCATCATCCTTGATGTAGTCACCTGTTTTATTGAACAAATGATGTGATATGATATTTCTATTAACACTTTATATTTGGTTACACACATTTTTAATGTCATTGAGAATTTGCTATAATATTTGCTTTCAGTTGTTATATTGGACAAGGTTAGCGGCGATTCCTAGGTCTATTCATATTTAGCATGACAATAATAATTGTTTCCTGCGATCACGTAATATTTGACAGGCGGTAAACTAGCAAAACAATGCTTCAGACTTCATGTCTTACTTACTGAGTATATTGTGGGCGAGTATAATGCTCATATTACGTATGTGATACATAACAAACTCATCTCGGCGTAACGCTTATGTTCTGATAAAAATTAATTTAAACATTTTATCATTCTAAATTGATAGCAGCTGTATGTAGAGTTTTATTTCTTCATGACACGTAGCCCATGGCCATTAACAGTTAATTTTATACGTATATCTAAACGGATGCGGTTTTTAAAGATTTAATAATGAAAAGATAAAATAATATTAATTAATAGTTAAGCACATTTTAACCATCAGTCAATTGTTTACATTTAAACTAATAGTAAAACGTTCATTAAAAATACATCTAAGTATTATTTTTGTTAACGATGATATGATAATTTAAGAAGCTATTAAGTTATCATTAACATCGCAATTCGAGGTACAGTATAGTCAAACAATGTTGGTTATGGTATTCTTCTTGACAACCGATTTCAAATAAGACGTTGCTCATTAACATTATTTGTGTGAAGATTTTGATATCTCTTTTTATTTGACAAAGTTTCCTTCCGTGTAGGTTTATTAGTATTCTTCATAATAAAAGGTTTGTGGTCAGTCCATGACCATATCCGTATTCGTGGCGAGAGAGTATGAATAGTTATGAGCCGTCACACTTAATTCTCAGGATGTCATAATGTCCAACTATTATAATATGTACAAACGAAATTATTAATTTAAAATATAAGTACATAAAACAGAGCGAGCGAGTATCGTGTAATTTGTTTTCTTTCCTTATTTATTTGATACTTATGTATTTATTGTGAAAGGGCTTAAAACAACATCAGTAGAGTCCAGTATGTAGAGTAGAATAAAATCTGCATTCAAAAACACGTTAGGGTTAGACTAATATTTTATCTTCTTCACTTCATCAAATATGCATAACATGCTTCTTTGCATGAGGCCAAGAAGATAAAATATTAGTCTAATCCTATTATCGATGAAAAAATATATCCATGTTAAATATTTTCAACGGTCTGGACTTTGTAAAAAAAGTGGTATGCGGGGTTACCTCTCCTTTCAGTCACTAAACTGCATGCTTTGAATGCTGTATTTCTGTTGAAGGGGGAAATAAGATAGTGATATTGCAGGAAAGAGGCATATCTTCGGAATAACAACGCATGAGTGATATAGTAATATGATATCGTAATGCTGTTTATGTACCTATATAGCTAGTGTGCACTTCCAATTACACAAAAAGTACTTTTCTTTTAGTAATTTGAATATACCCGTGGTTTTCGATTATTTACCGAACGGGTGTGGTTCTGGCGATGCGGTGCTGCGTCGCGTTGTAGCCTCGATGTGCTTGCGTCATAACGTCATAGCCGAAGTTGCGCCACCTGTGAGCCACACGTATTATTAATGATATAAATAAACACACAGGCAACGTTAATTCTTTGACCATACTCCCGTCCTGAATGCTATATGAGACCGCGATAACGAGTCTCATTGTGGTCTAAGTATTTTTTAATTGATTGTCTAGTAGACTTAATTATTTATTCACTTTTAGATTTACTTTAGAATAAGAGTACCTATTTTTTAAGTGATTTACGCTTTTGATAGATATTATAAAGAGGTAAACTTTGTTTCATTACAATATAAAACCTATTTTAGATGTATATCTAGATATTGATTGCAAAATGTACTAGGGACTCTCAAGTTAAGATAATTATCTAGCAATCACGTAGATTAGTACTTATTTCAATGAAGTTATGTACCTGGGTATCTAACATGGAATTGAATCACGAAAGCCCTAAAATGTTATTCCATTAATATCTACCTGCGTGTAATTTGTTACGACTTATACCAGTTACATATAGGAACATAATACATACTTGTACGTATGTAAGTAATAAATATTAATGAAATTCAATGTTAGTTAAAGAATTGTAAACATTTTGAGATGGTATATTTATTATGAGGTAAATTCTAAATATAACAACTACTTATTTAATTCTTGAATCCAGAAAAGCCGGTTTAGCGTAGATGGATGTATGTTCATGCGTGCCACCCATATATCGTCTCATCTTCCAGTTTTATAATACATATAGATAGATATATCTGCATTATTGTCTGTTTTATGCGAACTTTGTATTCCAATAGGTATTAAGTAGGTACCTAAGTACTATCGAAATTTTAGTTGCAAATTTAGCATAATAACTTTTGACTCGTTGACCATGAAGATAGTGTGGCATCATTTTGAAATGTACCTACCTATTTGAAATAATTGCAATTCAGATAGGTGTATACCTCGTTTTATTTATAATTGATTTGCCTGTGCATATGTTACATGTACGTAATTAAATATATAATTTCTATTCAGACCATAAAATATTTTGCGAAACAATGTTCTTAATTGTGGTATAAATTATTTCGTAACATGGATCTAAATCTTTAGGCGTCCGTTTCAATGATACACTTATTAAGTACGATATGATGTACATGCAAGGTCTGAAATAATTTTATTTGATACGATTTATTATTCTTTCTATCCGTCAAAATTAAATACTGTTATTATTCATTGACAATTACGCAACTCAAATTTATTCAAGAGGTGAACGAGATCTGAGATCAGGGATAAGATAATTCAAAAGTTTAAATACAATGATATTTAAGCAACTTATTTATATTATTGTTATCTGCCTTTTCCCAAAAATTGTAGATAAGCTGTTTATTTTATAGACAGTTTCAAGACTGTCGTAGTTTCTGCAACGTGTAAAAGCCAAGGTTCTTTAAGTGGATGTAGTTATGTATAGTATACCTTTATATAAAAAAAATACATTGCAACTGTTTCCTTGCTCCTTATTAAGTTAACTTAAAACTATCAATATATACGTATGAGATGTATTTTGGTTTATGGTTATTGTCCTCTGATATATATATATATATATATCTATCAGCATCTTGATAATCCATGTGAAAGTATATTATATCACAGAATGTACCTAGGCTAATTTTGTCTCAAAAAAAAAAGCAGGCCAAATCAAGAGTACTTATAACATTAGCCTCAGACGGGTATAATAAAAGAAATACCAGATAAAGATCTGGTATTTTTTTTATTATACCCGTCTTTGTCCTTGATTAAGACCCCGGCCTACCGATACAAATGTTTCACTTGTCTCTACAATTTTTCAGACAATTTCTTCTTTCATATAAATACAAGTAACAAAATTAGGTAATATATAAAAACTCAAATACGGAATATTATGTACATTCCGGAATGTGCATAAATTTAGAGTGGATCCACGATTTACCTAATTTTGTTACATCGTGGATCCACTCTAAATTTATGCACATTCCGGAATGTACATAATATTCTGTATTTGAGTTTTTTTAAATACAGATATTTCAATTAGAGATTTGTTGATATATTATAGATGAAAACTATATTGCATATTTTGGAAGTAATAATAATAAATTTATAATAAGGTATTTAATGAGATGTTGGTGAGGGGTCAGCGCAGTGAAAGTGGTTATAGCAAGCGAACTTTCGTTATCTGTGCAACTACCGGGCGGTATTATTACGAGCAAGCCTAGATCGTGCCTATTGAGCAGGACCATCTAAAGATATTTGCACAATTGCACATTGAAATTGCATTCAAAAGTCAGTCTCAATGGTATTATTAAATATTACAAAGAAATTAACTTTTTGACAAATAATTAATCATAAGGTTTACTGGTCTTATTTTAATACTAGCTGAGCTCACGACTTCGTACTGGTGATAATCGAATACAATATACAAATATACCTTTATTGTTTCTATACCGATACAAATAATAAATAATAACACATAAGTAGTTTCGGAGAATAGCGCGCACAAATGTACTAACAAAAATTCAAACAATCAGTGTTTTGAGTTCTGATATCTTAATCTCTTCAAGTCCTTCAACAATAGTTTTTCTCATTGATAGATATTCTAGGTACAGACACTTATTTGTTACATTTTTACTATAACAATTTATATTTGATTAGATTGATATAAATTTATGTATTTAACTTAAAACAAACTGCAGATCCAAACTTAGAAATTATGATTTTTATAAAGTTATAAAATTTTTAGACCAAAGTGTCACATATGAATAAAAATAGGAAGTATCGAAATCGAAATCGAATGATAAATTTACGTCTGCATGTGTTTTATTATATATATAAAATGTAGATTAAAGACCAATTTTACCCATTGTCATAGCCAACTTTGATCCTGAATATTTATACTTCAACTGTCCGGTCTTAAACTCCAGGCACAATTTTGCACTCTCTTTAGGTACTTAAATTATTCTCTAGTAAGAACTAGCATAGCTCACCTTTCAGATTAAAATCAAAACAGCAATAATTGTATTTGAAGTATTTTTAAAATACTTTGAGGAACATAAATATACTTCGTCAAAAAAAGATGTCCACTAATAAATACGTTATCATATATTGCGGATTCATTCAGAATTTTATCAAATGTATAGTATATTAGGGAAATCGACTAGCGAAGTGGTAAATCTGTTTGCTAAAATGGAGCATAATTAACCAGGTAGGAGCAAAGTAGGCCCATTACTCCATTCAAAATGGATAATGAAACGAGTTGCATAATATTAATCTCGCAGTAGAAGAACGCAAAATTTTAAGAATAAACAGCCTTTGATTTTTCTTCTGAGGATTAAGGAGAAAAGTGTATTTTTTTTATTGGGTAGGCTATTAATTTTCTATGAAACTACTGAACGAATTACAAAAGCTGCTCTTTGAGTAAAAGTATTTGTAAACTAGTTGCTGGTAACTGCCCGTTTATTTATTGAATCATATTAAACAAGCTATTTGTTATATAAACAATTTTTTTTAATTTCAGGAAAAGCGGGTATTGATTATCCAATTTTGGGAGCCGTTCCATATACAAACTTTTACTGTGATGAACAAGCTTATCCAGGGTTTTTCGCCGATATGGAAACAAGATGTCAAGGTAATTTCAAATTTTAGTTTATAATATTTTTTAACCCACTGAAAATTGTTAATTATAATAACAAAATCAAATGGCTCTGGTCCTTATTAGTATTATAAATGGGACTTCTTCTTTGAAGGTAGTTCAACATAGTTTTACAAAATGAATCATTAAAGACTAAATCATATTTTTTTTTCAAATAAAAATAGTTATAATTGATAGTATTTTTAATTTAATGGTGTTTAGTTAGGAGACTCATCATATTTGCAGTCGGTTATTATACACCACATCTATGTTACAAGAGATTGTATACTTAAATTTAGTTTCAGATTCGGTCAGCTTTGAACTCACTACCACTAAGATCTATAAATCAGGCTAATATACTAACAGACCATGACGTCCTGATAGCGAAATAACTTTACACTTTCGTATTGCAATCGAGATGGATTATCTCGTATACCATTACAACTACTTGCATATTATTGCTAAATAACATTTATAAAAAGCTTAACCCAATTCATTTAATGTTTGTACGTAGGTTTAAATGTGCTAGAACCATGGCTGTCAGATAGGTGCCATTTTTCGTGGCGAGCGTGGGTAGTCCATTCGATTCCATTGTCTATACATTATTCATGACCTTGGCCGTGTCGAGATGATTAACAAAGGTGACCTTATAGCCGCATGAGGTCAGCTAATTATAACAAAAAGTCACCCGGAAGATCATCTTAACATAAAATGTTAGTTCGAGCGTGAGATCCGCTTTAAATTAAATTTACCAGAGATATATTTTGTACAAAGTCGTCTGCCGTACGGCGTTACCTCAGTCTCAACTGGTTATGCTGGTAAGCAGCTTGATTTGTAAGCTGTATTAAGTTTAGATAGGCAGTAAAATTACTGGATATGGAAGATAACACCGTAGTCCACCGGAATGGCAATGCTTGAGGTATATCACGAAGGTAATGTGCATGTATATTTACCATCAGGTGCGTCGTCAGCATAGTTACCATTCCAGTTAGTTAAAAAAAATTTATTTCGTACCGTTTGTAGCAATGACATTGGCCAGATATTGTGAATTATAAACATAAGAAGTCCTTGTTGGAAAAACCTAATCAATAATGCACAAATAAAATTAAAACGATATTTTACTGTATAAGTTTATAAACAGATCAATTTTATAAAACAAGTTTAATATCAAAACATTGATTTTGTTGAAATAATAAAATTAATGTTTTTGATAATGCGGAACTCGTTGCGTCTTACAAAGATTTATATTATAAATATTTCTTTTCTATACATAAAAACATATGGTGTATTGATAATTACTTCATGATATTCTTACATTATATTATATATATAGTGCCTAAACAACAAAAAAAACAGATATTAAATGAACATTAGTTTTATTGACAATTCATGAATTGGTAGTTTTTAGCGATTTTAGTCCTACACTTCAGTCGCAACTAATTGAAAATAGATTCAAAAGAAAATATAGATCGAGTTACTTAAATCAGTTAATATTATTTATTCATTATTATACCTGTGATCTTAAAAGTGACAATATACTGTAGAAAACATATAAACAAAAACAACGTGTGAGTTATGTTGATAAATTTGGTTATATAAGTGAATGTTGTAGATTAATTTCTGAGTAAGGATATTTTATGGTAAAAATATCCGTTGGCATGATTCAGTGGACTATTGTCACGCTAGTCAGGTAGTTAGATGGGATTTCATTTCGAGTTTTCATTTTTATGTATCGTTAATTATATTATAGTATCTTGCTTTTTACAAAATGAGATTAAGCAAATTAAATCTGCGTTACTTTAAACCTGTGTTTCTTATTTATATTTCCAGCTTGGCATTACTGTGATATTGACGGGCGACAGGCATCATTCCTCTGTCCGAACGGGACGGTATTTTCTCAAGGCGTCGCATCGTGCGATTGGTGGTTCAACGTGCGATGCGCTTTATCTCCTGCCTTGTATCCACTCAACGCACGACTTTATAGACGTAAAAAGAAGCAGTCAAAGCCCAAACCACATCGTCTCATAGATAAGCAACTTGTTGACGAAATATTTTTGTAAATAGAATTAACATGTAACCTGTAAGTTTTAAGTTAAAAATATTGTAAATATATTGAATATTTTTTAGCAGTAGCAGGCTGGGCCTTGTTATTAAAATTGGTCAATAAAGTTTGTTAAATGTCAAATTCAGACATACAAATTACAAACTTTAATTATAATGTAACTGTGGAATTCGTATTCCGATGCCGCTTCAATCTGTGAAATCTTTCCACTCATTGAATATTTAGAAATTGTATTCTTTGTACATCAATTAAGGTTTATAATTATTTAGTTCTATCTTATTTAGGTCCCAAATACAGAAATGTGATTAAAATTTTAAATAGACACAAAGATCTATTTAATCGGTTAAGCACTTATTTGTAGAGAATGTTGCCAATGCTGCCATATTCTGTCATATATTCTTTAAGTTTTTATGCTTGAAATTAATAAATATAAAAAAATATCCTTCTAGTTTTGATTGTAGACATATTTTTTTAGAGTTTTCCTTCTCCGTTAATTATTTGTATCATACACAAATACTAATTTATTTTTTCTTTTTAATTCAAAAGAGATTTACCAAATAGAATATATTGAAGAACTACAAGAACAGAGTAAAAAAGTAAGTAACATTAAGATTTTTTCTGTAAACTGTGGTCAATAATAATAAAACAATAATAACAGCTAAAAAAGCCATTATTATACTGGTGTTTTGTGTGTATTAGCTGTTACTTGATTATCTTTAGAAATTCTACAGTGAAACTGTAAAAAGAGGATTGTCATCTTTTGCTTTAAAATTAAAGATGATTAGATAAAGAAACTACAATATTCACTAGCTATACAATGTCAATTATACTACAGTGAAATGTAGAGTCAGTAGACGTATCTGTGAGCGGTATTTTTTTTAATTAATGATGTTGGATTGATGCATCCACCTGCGCTAATGATTTATTCTGGCGGGGCACCAATGGAGGATGACAGAAGTCAGGTCAGTTAGCACATCATGGCAAATTCACCAGGAATTTATCACGTTGGTTTCCAGGGGGAACAGCGTGGAAATCAACCTATTGTTAGCAATAGGTTCATTCGTCCACATTACTAACATTCCTCTTCCACCCTGCGAGTGGTAATAAAATATGTTATTTCCATGATATTTACTACGATGACTACGTATCATCAAGCAGGTCTTTAGTTAGAATATACTATTTTCAAGACTTAAAGATATCAGAACGAAGAGTTAGGTTGATTATCTGTAACACTCGTGAATGGCTGCTGCTTGTTAGGGACTGGTTTGCTCTCGTCACTATGTACGTATATTATATGTTTCTTACTAAATATACATATATATCAGAACGAAGAGTTAGTTGATTGTCTTATTGCACGGCTGCTGTTTGTTAAATATATATATATATATATATATATAATATATATATTGAATACTATGACCTTGTACTATTCTAATTTAATGTACGTAAAGATATATTTGTAACTTATTTGTTTTTTCAAGACTAACATATAGACGTATTTTGCCTATTTTATCACACATTGTAAATGTTCTGCCCAATCGAGAATATTTCTGGATGTTTGTCGTATTGGGATATCTGAACTGATTTTACACCAGCATTTTCTTTTTTCTTTAATAGAAAAAAATATCACTGTGATCCTTGACTGGTTTCACTTTTAATAATGATGCCCACAAGGAGTGTCACAATTCCATTATCAACAACAAAAAATAAAAAAGAGTTCAAGAAGCTGTCAAGGTAATTGTTTTTTTACTGTTGAGCTATATATATTTTGTCTAAATAATATCACTTAAATCTTGATTTAGAATTGATATGAAATTAATCGTGATATTTGTGAATACACACTGAATTGCTTTTTGCTTTTAGTAGGCGTTTGTTACAAAGATAAATCTTTATTATAACATATTTGTTTTGTCTTAACTTAATTGTAAAATTCAAAATTATCGCAATTCTTGCTGAATTATAATAGCAATAAGCAACAAAACAAAAGGACGACCCGTCTTATGGTAAGTGGTAAGCGTTACGAACATACGACAACCGTGATTTCTGCGTTGATATTACGGCTGATATATAATTTCACTGCTGAACAGATAGCAAGAGCATAGCCGCTGAAATAGCTGAGACAGACGACTTTTTGCAAAGACTACTTTTAATACTTACCGTATTTACTAAATGTGAAAAGGACCAACAAGCTGCTTAATAAAAGGTAACAATCTACACGAGAAGCTAAACCAGTACCACATTATGACAAATAAGTTAATAATAAGTTTTGATAAATGGACATCCAACATGACGTCAACCAGAGGAAAACTTTGTAAAAAGTCATTTTTATTTTCATCATTTTTTCACAAACGAGCATGCGGCTCACTTGATGGTAGTGATTACCGCCGCCCATGAGCACCCGCAACACCGGGGCAATTGCAAGTACGTTGTCGGCTTTTTAAAAAGGAATAAGCTCTTTTCTTGAAGGTTTCAATATCGTATCACATCAACGTGGAGGCCTACAATACAGCTTTATAGCAAGCTGTTTGGTGGTTGAAATAGGTGAGACTACGGTACATGCAGACGACCTCTGTCACAGTGTACCTTTAACGTATATATATACATACATATGTACGCAATGTTATCTTAATATGAAACAGGTTATTTAATTTTTATATTATATCTATTAGCTACCCACCCCGGCTTCGCACATGTATTATACATATAAACCTTCCTCTTGGATTATATATCTATTAAATATATCTCTATCTATTAAAAAATCCGTTGCGTAGTTTTAAAGACATAAGCATACATAGGGATGGACAGACAGCGACAGCGACTTTATTTTATACTATGTAAAGATATTGTTGGTTAAAAGTTTAACCAACATGATATAAAAACTAATTTATCTATTGTTTTGCAATTATCACTGAAAACAATTATACTTGATTTAATTTATTTCCACGCACACACATATATGAGTTTAGAGTTATTAATTTTTGCGTTAATAAGTTACAATAAGTTACTTGCGTTCTCGTCTGTTGAAAGATCTAACAAAATTTTCAGCGCCAAACCTTGACGGGGCGAAGGCAAAAATACCTTCTAATTATTTACACAAAGAATGCATATACAAAGATTAACAAGTTTGTTAACAATGCCGATTCATAACATGAGTCGTCGGTATCAATTGCCTACTGTGTGTTAAGTACGCCAATCGTGAGAAAATATTCATAGTACGCGTGTGTTTTTCATCCTATATTGTACTCAAATATAGCGTACATTCGGAAACATTTATGGTGAACGTTTCCCTGACGAAAATTGGCCGTATACCGCGGCTGCAAACGCCCATTGTCACTTCTTACGCGACGCGCGCTAAACGCACGCGCAAGTCAGAACGACCGACGCGACGCGGACACCGATATACCGGTATCGATGATCACGTGATAATCAATAATATGATAGTGTAACGTGATATAAAAAGTTGTTTTGGATTAACCATTTTCAGGTTTTAGTTAAATTTACCTTCATATTGATGTAATTCGTTTTTAAGAACAAAATGAAGTTATTAACACTGATTTTGTGTGGTAAGTATAGTTTGACATTTTCTTGTCACATTGCATATAATTACCATTTAATTATATTAAATTTTCAAGTTATTTTAAATTCCAAAAATATATTTGATATAATATTATTTATAAAGTATATTAAAAAACATTAAATGTTTTCATAGAACAATAGTAATAATATAGAATTCAGTTATAACAAGAAATATAGAGTTCAAAACTTGGTTCAGATATACAGAGACATATATAATGTGTCCTTAAATTCCATGAAGAGTCAAACTTATATGAATAGCCGACCAACTTATATGGACTAGACATATATGTACATAGGTGTGATTAATTATAGTAGGTAGGTATAGCAGTAGTACCATTTTCTTGTGTTAATTTTTAATCACGAATTTACGAAATAACATTTCACGAAACTTTATTCGGTGGCCTTACACATGACTATGATACCGAAAAGGTTGCTGGAAATAAGATCATGCTCAATGCCAATGTCTTCGTTAAAAAAGTAACCATGGCTTTAGGTAGATAATTACAATAGTACGGGCTGTGTTCTTTGTTGTTGTCGCGAACATAATTGTAGAGCAACTGATTTGACGGTATACATACCTACTGCTAAGTGTTAGATAGCAGAGATTGCATATTGATAGACCAAGATTGATCCTAATATAATAGAATCTTTGATAGAAAATTTAGGTCCTACTCATATTATTATTCAAATTTGTTTTATTAGTTATAGGAACATTAATTTGAAAATATTTTCATATTTATTTCAAATAATCTGGTACTTTGTCATAATAATACATAAATGAACTACAAAGAATACGATACTTGTACAAATAAATAATAAATTCAATTGTTTATGTTCATTCTGTAATAATCAGTTCTGTTACGCGTGAATGAGTTGAGTAACTAACATTCCATACGATATCCAAACATCTTCGCCAACTTTCCCATTCATTTATCAGAATTAGTTTAATTCAATTTGTAATGAACATCACATGTATTTTCTACTTTTTTGTAAAAATATAATGTAATAGTTTAGTGTCATTTATTTTTTAATGTAATGTTGATATTTTGGTTAGGCAGGTTTTAGTTATGTCATCATTATCATTGACCCAACTTTATCTCGTTATTTTGGGTAAGCGCAGTACGTTATCCTCTACACTGGTCCTTTCGGACCTCATATCAGAACTAAGGACATCTTTAAATCCTTTTTCAGAGAGTAACCTTTTAAGTTTATCCTTTCGATCGTTCTCTTATTATCATTACATCCAAATTACATAAGGTTTGTCTTGTATATTTCAAATAATTTCTATGTAATTATAATTATGTGATATATAATAACAATTTTAAAATACACGTATCAGTTTAAGGCTATATATTAGATAGTAAATATTATAATAAAAAAAGAATTACAGATGTGACAAAATATGTTACAAACAAGTTTATATTTTGTAATTTGCCAATCCATTACAAGTATTTTTCTGCAACATGTACTACTTTCATTCTATAATAATAAAATGTTTTAGTATTAACATAAGTTATGTAACCGTGAAAATCACATACCTCTCGTGGTTCAATAAGACATTCATATATGACTAAGGTCAATGTTTTCTCTTTTGGCTGGATTTTGTTTCATATAAAAATCACGATAGGTCAATACGATTTTAAAAAAACATAAGAAGAATACTATAAAGAATGTTATCTCCAAGTTTTTTAATTAACAGTAGACGTTTAAATTTAGAATCTAAATACATTGTAATACAAAGTGAATATATAAAATTAAAGCACTTAATAAAAAAGAGGGTAAACAGCCTATTTTGGGTAGAGAATGCCATAATATTATGTACCTATATTTAAATCCGTTATACGTTTTATAGTTATTACATTTTCTATTGTCGGTTTATAAATTATATAGCAATTTGTTTTTTATGCCGCTATCGCACGACGTGCGGTTTCGTGGACCATTTATATGTAACAATACGCTGTAAATATTACTTGTTATTACACCAAAAATACATGCAGCAGTGACCTTAAATATATTTTGTTATTGTGTAATGTAACCGGGTGGTTAGTATATTCAAATATTTTAATTATATTTCAGAAAATGGAAATCTAGTGTACAAAGTATCTGTTTTAGTTAAGTTCAAAATTAGATAGTTTGAATGAAACATATAAATAGAACTATACGCGTCTATTGGGTATTATTGCTATAAGCTAATTTAAAGTTATATTTATTTTATTAATGTTATTTTTTATGTTGTTTGTGTTTAATAGTAAGATAACAGTAAAATCAATGTATCGATGTAGTTTTATTTCGTTCCAATGCTTTTATTATTCTATGTATATCGTCCAAATACTTCATTAATTGAAGTAGCAGATTATTTCAATCGACGACCTTATGTCAAAATTTTAACACTCATATTTTTCATTTTCGTTCAAATAATAAAAAAATACAATATACATATTATTTACCTTTTTATTTTATAGGCAATTAAATTATATATAATAATAATATCACTCTTTATACATAAACGTGCTAAAAAGGTGATCTTATAGCTTAGAGTGGTCTCTTACAAACAACCTTTATATATATATAAATACTTCATGTATATTTTCTATACATTTTTTGTCTAGCAGCGTCCTGCTTTCTCTATCCATTCCGTCGAACTCTTTCCTCAATTAAGTACTTATAATTCGAGGAAGTAAGTTCTTTAGAGATATAAATCGCGTTTAAAAAACTTGATGGAATACTGTTCTAGTTAAATAATAGAAAAATATTTATAATTCAGTATTACTTTTTTATATTTGGGTAGAGAAATAATGTCAATAAAAATATCACAAATTGAATTATAAAGAATGGAAAACGTCAGTTTAAAAATGAATATAGAGCTATTATTATATTGTATATTATTACTTACTATCCATATACATAAGTAAATCCTGTTCAATTAATGAAATCCGGTTCTACCCCGTAAGGGAGCAGCACGATAATATATTTATCTAATTGTAAAAATATATGTCAAGATTGTTTACCAAATAAGACAAGTAAGAAAAAATATATAACAGTAGTAGCGTGAGGTTGTTATTTAACCACTTTTTGCTCTGTGATTCTTTCGTTACACATCATTATATCACACATCTAAATGAGTAACGATACAAGGCCCGTGCCGAGAAAATTTGTTGGTCATCCATTAACTAGATTACACGCGAAGATTACGTATATTATGGAAAGAAGATGTATATAACACTATGTCTATAATGAATCAAAAAACCAAAAGTGATGACAATGATTAAAATGTGTTACATAACTGATTGACGTAATAGAAAATCTCAATATCAAATGTTTTTATTCATTATATTAATACCATTCATACTAGCATTAATGACAAATGTATTTATTTATATACCATTTGAATTAATCATTCAAATTCTTTGAGATGTTGTTATTTGAGATGTACCTAATTATATAAAGTACATTTCACCATGTGTAGAGTGTCACCTTTATTTTGAATTGCTCGGTTTAATATCATTAACTTTTACTGAATAACTATATCACAATAAAAAAAATATTGACTTACAGAGTCTTGTTATTGATCAAGGTTAACCAATTAGGTACTGCAGTGAAGGTACTTAATTTTAAGGTTAATTACCTTGATCCGTAGTTGTCATCTGTTCCTGAGCTTGGTTAAGCTTAGTGATATGTAATTCATAAAAACCTGTATTTCTAACAATAGTACTCATCTTCCGATACAACTTATTGTGTAAGCTGTAACCGCGACTTCGTACGCGTGGAATTTAACTTTATTTTTTTTAATAAAAGTAGCCAAAGTTACTCCTTGTTACATGAACTACCTGCCTATAAAAGTCCGGTCAAAATCGGTCCAGTCATTTCAGAGATTAGCCGAAACAAATCATCAATCATATGCATGTAGTAAAAACGATTATTTCAATATTACAAACAGACACTCCAATTTTATTTATATCTATAGATTATAACATTTACAAATCTACACTACTACTACAATAAGACAATGTTAGGGACGTACAAAGCAGTCACGATATCAATAAAAAATATTTTCGAATAGGCGTGGGTGCGTGGGCATAGAAATATATTATGAAAGTTTCTTAACTTCATAAATACAATTCGGATTGTAGTTTTGTCAATTTCATCTTATATTTACTGCATAAAAAATAAAAACAGGCGAGCATTTCTTTTTTTGAAGTCAGTGTTAATATGCAATATTCTCAGATCTGTCGTTTTAATTTATAGAGAGACTTAACAACTAGACAATTTATGCCCCAAAAATTTCTATCATCATAGTTTTGAATTTATTTGAAGACATAAAGCTTAATTTAGTAGCAAAAGCACAGCCTTAAATACTATATAGTGTTCCGAATTTGGATAGTTGTAGTCAGTTGCATCACGATCAACTGTTATTAAATTAAAGAGAGCAAGTTAAACTGCAGATGGGCGCACACGAGCGTGGACTGTCGCAACCATGTGGAAGGTTGTGGATGTATCCATTTAGTGGTTACTTTGGAAATATATGAGTGCAAATAAATAATTAACTATTTTAATGTACATGTGTCGCCATGAATATTAAACAAGTTTAAGTTACCCTATGTCGAAAAGCCACTGGGGCTTCGTGACCATTAACTTGTAAGAAGCGAGTACTTGTTATGTTAGATATAAGTATATAAAATATAGAAGGCGTACCCAGTAGTTAGCCGCTAAAATGCTATTGACCACTTCGTTTGGAATTGTAGTAATGACCAATCGTTTTTAGTACAAATACACTTTCTAAAACTGCATGTTTAATTTAAACGCTTTTCAATATGAAATTAATTAACGTCTAAGTGCAGCCAGCTTCCAGCTAGTTATTGCAATTTCTTACAATGTAATATAATTTAGGAGATGTTTCCGTATCTCTATCTATTGAATTTGAAAAGTTATGACAAGACGCACGTAAGTTAGTGTGTAGTCACGTATCACGTTGAAAATGTTTTATATT